CCCACCCTGCCTAACATATCAGGGAAGTTAAATTCTTAGTGGAAACATCAGAACCATCAGGTGCATAGGCAGTTAGACTTGTGTGATGGATGACACTACCAGAAGAGGTAGATGGTACTGCATTGGATATATGACTTATCCTTCCATATCCTTTTATCCTGTTAATTCTTCTTCCCTACCTGTATGTCTTCAATGTTTGATCCTTGTGAATTCCCAATTTCTCACTGATAGTGTGTGGGACAGTGTGGCCATGTATATTTAAGGGGGAATGTTCTGTTATTAATTTTATTACTTTTATTATTTAATTACATGTCTTTGATTTGAACCAGTTGTGACCTTTGGCAAGAAAAAAGTAAATGCATCATTTGAGGATTATGAAATATAGTTTAATGGAAGTCAACCCACAGTGAAACTTATTCTAAAATAAATATTCTAGGGTCCCCACTTGTGAGAAGGGGTTGTCCCAAATGCTATAAGTAGATTCCTCAGTGGGTAGAAGTTTGGACTAAGTAACCTCTGAAATGCTTTACCACTCTCAAATTCTGTGAATTTCCATAATTCTGATGGTCATTTGTGGCCATATCCTAAATCCACAAGAAGGGAGGAAATTTTAAACCTTAACTGAGGTTTACATACATGTGGATGTTCATTTCCAAAATGTTAGATTTCATATACAAGCATCATTTTCTTTCTTTCTTTCTTTCTTTCTTTCTTTCTTTCTTTTTTTCTTTGTATTGGTGAGGGAATTGAGGTTAAGTGACTTGCTCAGTCACACAGCTAGTAAGTGTTATGTGTCTGAGGTTGGATTTGAATTCAGGTCCTCCTGAATCCAGGACTCTATCCACTGTGCCACCTAGCTGTCCCCTCATTTTCTTTCTAAGAATGTCTCAAATACCTCTTTACTGTTGAACATCGATCTTTTTTCATTTGTGGTTAAGCTTAGATTTGCAAATTGCTCTTCAGAATGCATTATTCCATTCCCTTCTGCATTTTCTAGTACATGAAGAATAGTCTTGTACATTTTAATTTCTTTTCCTTTCAATTTGAAGGTCTTTCTCCAGGTTACTTGCAGAACTTGTTTCTAAATTGAATTATTAAATTTAATCACTATGTACCTTGGAATTTGCAGCTGTTTTTGTTTGTTTTGTTTTGTTTCTGGAGATAATCTATGAATTCTTTCAATTGGTATTTTGTTTTCTGTGTTAAGAAGACCTGAGCAGTTTTCTTGTATTTCTTGCATTATTTTGTTATTTAGGTTTTTTGACTTATCTTTTTCTAGTAGACTTATCAATTTTAGGTTGTCTCTACACAACCTGTCTTTGAGATCGTTAAGTTTTGTTTGAATAGAGAACATATTTTCTTTTTATGTTATCGTGGTTTTGCTTCTCTTCTTCTAGATTGTGCTTAACTTCTATGTATTTTAATTCCCAATCTATTATTCTCCCTCTTTTCTCTCTCTCTCTCTCTTTTTCTGTGACTTGCCATTGCAGAAAAAACATTCCAATTTTTCTATTCTGCCAATTATTTTTTTTGCTATACAGGCTATAAATTCTGCTCTCATAATTCTCAACTTTCTTCTAAATCATTTAGGAACAAGGTGTTGTAGTTTCATGTTCCCTCAAATTTCACAGGGTCATCAAATGTTATCTTAGTTTGCTTTTTGTTTTGAATATTTATTCATAGATACTTAAAATTGTTTGCTAGATCTGGAGGCCATATTTCCTTCTGCTAATGTTTTCCTTGTTGATTTATCTGCTTATAGTCAAGGCTTTGAGTTTTCTTTTGAAACTTTTGAGTTTCTGTTTCCTCTTGAACATTTTGGTAATATCACTCTTCCCCCCCACCCTTATTTTCCCCTATTGTTTACTTTCTGACTGGCAATCACAGTTCATAAGCCTCGGTCTTTGCCCTGACTAACTTTTGAGTGTACAGGTTTAGTGTAGTGCCTTAAGCTCTGCCATTCCAATACTGTGTGCCGCTCCCTTCTTCCTCTTTCACTCTATTCCTCATGTCTGTAGCATGGCAGCTCTGAGCACTGCCAGACTGGCATCATTGTAGCCACAGCTATTTCTGTCATTTGGAGTTTGGGTCCTTCAGGCTCTAGGAGAAAAGAGGGAAAAAGCACAGAGTTGAGTTCTTTTTCAAATCTAGAGATGTGTCCTGTCCCTTACCCTCTGTTTCTCCACTCTTTGGCAAAAATTGTTTTTTAGCACTGAATGCTATCAAGGCAGTAGTCATCAAGGTTCTAGTAAACTTCTCTAGCCTGGAGCTCATTTCTCCATGGCAAGTGAAAGAGGGAGGGAAGTAGGGGTATGGGATTGGGTTTTGTTGCAAGTTTGTGGGTCAGGCCTTTGGACTGACTAGTGCAGCCTCATTGTCGATTGGTTGGCTGTTGTTCTCAGAGAGACCACAATGACATCACTATGCTACAGTCAAGTTTCAGTGTGTCTGACTGTGGCTGATCAGAGCAATACTAGCTTGGAATGTTCTACCACAGATTGGGTACAAATAGTCCATGTGAACATTTAGGGTGGATTCTCTAAAGTTGTGCATCTCACATATCTTTTGAGCTGCTTCAATTCTTCTTTTCTCATACTGCATAGTACCTTCTTTGATGAGGGCATGCCATGCTGGGCGGTCCCGTGCCAGTGTCTCCCATGTCATGCAATCAATTCCGAAGTTCTTAAGATAAATCTTGAGAGTGTCCTTGTATCCCTTCTTCTGATCACCAAGTAAGCACTTACCTTGTGTGAGTTTTCCATAAAATAATGTTTTAGGCAAGCATACATTTGGCATTTGAACATCCCTGACTAGCCCATCAGAGTTGCATTCTCTACAGCAGAGTTTGAATATTTGTCAGTTTGGTTTGAGAAAGGACCTCAGTGACTGGTATCTTATTCTGCCAACTTATCTTCATACTCTTCCTAAGACAATTCAAATGGAAGCAATTCAGTTTCCTGGCATGGTGCTGGTATACTATCCAGGTTTCACAGACATACAACAATGAGGTCAGCACAAGGGCTTTGTAGACCTTCAATTTGGTAGTCAGGGTAATACCTCTTCTCTCCTACGTTTTCCTTCAGAGCCTCCTAACCACTGAGCTCACTTGGGCAATGCACACATCAACCTCATTATTAATGTTTATATCACTGGAAAGTATACTACCAATGTAAGTGAACTTACCCACAACATTCAAAACTTCTCCATTTGCTGTAACCAATGGTTTCATGCATGAATGGTGTGGCAGCTGATGGAACACCTGTGTTTTCTTGGTGTTAATTGTTAGGCCAAAATTAGCACAAGCAGTGGAGAATTGTTTCATACTTTGCTGCATCTCAGCTTCAGGGGCTGCATTGAGCACACAACGATCTGCAAACAGAAAATTATGTACCAGCACTCCCGCCCCTTTGGTCTTGGCTTGTAGCCTTTTCAAGTTGAAGAATTTACCATTATCTTGGTAGCTGACCCTGATGCAGTATTCCTCCTCATTGAAGGCATTTGACAAAATGGCTGAAAACATCATGCTAAAAAGCATGGGAGGAAGCACACAGCCTTGTTTCACTCCATTGGTGACCGGGAAAGCACAAGAGCATTGTCCATTATGCAGAACCTGGGCAAGTATGCCATCATGAAAATGATGTATGACACTGATGAACTTTTCTGGCCAAACAAATTTTGACATGATTTTCCATAAGCCCTCACAACTGACAATATCAAAGGCCCTGGTCAGATCTACAAACATTGTATACAGACCTCTGTTCTGCTCTTGGCATTTCTCCTGGAGTTGTCAGGCATCAGACACCATACTGACTGTTCCTCAGTCCTTTCTGAAGCCACACTGGCTCTCAGATAGATGACCATCTCCCAAGTGAAGGATTAGCTTATTAAGGAGGACTCTGTCAAGAATCTTGCCAGCAATGATTAAAAGAGAGATCCCTCTGTAATTGTCACAGGACAATCTATTTCCAGTACTTTTATAGAGATGGACAATGGAGGCATCCTTGAACTCCTGGTGGATAATGTCCTCTTGCCATATAACCTAGAAAATTTCAGTCAGCTTTTGTATGAGCATTCTATTAGGCATCATTTGCAATGGAGCTGAATTCCTGCATCAACTACTTATTATTTTGCATTTTCAATTAGCTCTCCTGTAGACATTTCAAACTCAACATGTCCAAACAGAACTCATTATCTCTCCCCTCCCCACCTCAAATTCAAGCTTCTAATAAACTCCTTATTACTGATGAGGGCATGGCCATCTTTTCAGTTACCCAGTTTCTTAACCTTAGTTTCATTATTGGCTCCTCACTCTCTCTGCACACGTCCAATAAATTGCCAAATCTCCTTTTTGTCCCTATAAAATCTCTCACATATGTCCTCTTCACTCCACTCACTTATCACCCTAGTTAAAGCTTTTGTCACCTCTCACCTGGCTTACTGACATAGTATCCTACTAGTCCTTCTGTTTCACATCTCTCCCCAGTCCAATTCATTCTTCGTGAAGCAGCCAAAATGATTTTCGTAAAACAGGTTTGACCATATAACCACTTTGCTTAAACTCCAGTAGATCCCCATTACCTCTAGGTCAAATATAAAATCCTCAGTTTGGTATTTAAATGTTTTCCCAACCTGGCTACATCCTACCTTTCCAACTTTCTTATGTATTGCTCCCCTCCATATTAAAGTTCAGCTGCACCGACCAATTTGCTATTCACCCATACATGACACCCTTTGTCTCTTTGCCTTTGCACTGGCTGCCCCCCACCCCATGCATAAATTGCTGTCTCTTCTCACCTTTAAGATTCAGTTCATTAGGATTTTGATACTTCCCCAACTGCTAGTGCATTCCTCTCCAAAGTTGCCTTGTATCTGCTTTACATATAGAATGTCCCAAAAATTTTAGTGCAGTTTTAAGCTTTAAAAACTTCAGAAGTATAAATGCTATAAACTTACTGAAAAATTTGAAAAATTACTTAAAATGTGAAAATATTGATGTTTCTAATTAAATTTCAACATAACCACAGTCTCGTGCTCTACATTGCTCTAGTCCATTTTTGAACATTGTAAAAATTTTCATCAGCTGCTGCTCAGTGACTGGACATTAGCCTAATTAATCTTGTAAGGAGAAGTGGCAATGTCATTAGCCCTCAGTGACTTTCTCACTGATGCTTTTGAGTATTCTGAATTTCATTCATCAGGTGAGGATGTGTCTCTTTTAGGACCTCATACAGATAGTCTCTGCAGTTCCTGTCCCAAGATGTGCTAAAACTAAATAGTTGTCTCATTTTATCAGGGTTAGTTTTCTCTGCCCGTATGTGCTCATAATCCTCATTACTGAGGAATTTGTGGTAAAGTTTGTCGAGGATCATGTCCACTGCTGTTACCCGAGAAATTATCTGATCCCTGTGTTGGTCAACAAAGTGAAGCCCTGGAGGAAGAGAATAAGGGAAAGACTGATGGAGCTTCTGGTGCTGGCAGAGAAGTAAAAATATCTTAATATACTACTAAATAGTTCCAGTCACTACCATAGCCTCCTGCTTCTTATTTCCATTAACTTTAGAACCCCTGCTCCCTATCTCCTGTCTCTTCATCCAAACTATTCACCATCAAGAGTAATCATTAATCTTAAGGCTTATGCTCATTCATGTTCTAGCCCAATTTTTGTAGTAAATACAGTCAACTTAGAATGTGAACATCTACACAATCTGTGAAGACCACCAGGCCTTTTCACTGTGATGTGCCCGAATCTGAATTCTTCCCTAACCCCAATCAAGCTAGTTAGAGAGACACAGCCTGGCAGTACATTCCCTTCTGCATCACTCTGGAGCCAGGAACTTGGCATTACTAAACCACTTTCTGTCTTTCTGGATGCTTGGGATATATAGAGTATCACAAAAGTCTAACTGCAATTTTAAGCTACAGAAGTTTAAATCTTCCCTAAGGCTTTTTTTTTTGATACCCTGGCTGTGACTGTGCCTTTGCTCCCACATTAAACCTTCCCTGTATAAGCCATCTTTCCTCCAGCCCCCCAATACTCAAATTATTGTCCAAAAAGATCCACATGTGGGTGTCTGTAAGACTGAGGATATTACTAACCTGTGGGAGCTTAAGAGCCCGGGGCACAAGCAAGTGCAAGTTGAAGATCTCCTGGGAGAGAGAAAAGGGCAATGAGGTGTAAATCAGATTTTTGACTGATGTCTGATGCTCCCAGGGCCCCTAGTCTTAGCATGGGAAGGTGATGTTCTGACTCTGCAATGGGCCTGGAGGAATGGGGAAAGGAGAAGAGGCCCAAATGAAAGCAGTCAGAGGTCGCCATAAGGTTGCAATGAAACCTTCTGTCATTCTCGCTTTATAGTGAATAATACTAAAGACTAAGGAAAAAGTAAAGGCCGTGGTAGCTGGGACCCCAAATTCCATGAATTGTGCTTTTGATCATGGGCCTCACAAAGCAGGAAAACATTTCTAGAGTGAAAGAAAGTTGATGCTCTCAGTAGCACTCAGAGAAACACCATGTTGTATATTCATTAATAATACTAAATTAATTTGATGCTCCTTGTGTATTACTATGAGAGGTAAGGTGAAGTTATTTTCCTGCTTTATACTTCTGCTGACCTTAAAAACATTAGAATGGGCTGAATAAAAAAAAAAACACAAGCACCATTCTTCAGATAGTAAAATCCTTTCCCAAATTAATGATCAGTAAGCATGGGACCATTTACCTTCACTGACTGTACATCTCTTCTTCTTTGTTTATAATCAGTCACTAAGTATTTATTAAATACCTACTATGTGCCAAGCACTTTGCTAAACACGGTAGATACAAAAGAGACAAAAGATAGTCCCTGCCCCTCAAGTAGCTCATAATCTAATGTAGAAGCAAACAACTATATACAAACAAGCTATATATAGGATAAATAAGAAATTATCCACAGAGGGAAGGCACTAGAATTAAGAGGGATTAGGAAATTCTTACTGTAGAAAGTGGGATTCTAGTTGGGACTTGAAGGAACTAGGGAAGCCAGGAGGTAAAAATGAGGGGGGAGAGCATTCCAAGCACGGATCACAGCCAGAGAAAATGTCCAGAGCTAACTGATTGAATATCTTGTTCAAAGAATCACCAGGATGCCAGTGTTACTAGATTAAGGAGTACATGACAAAGAATAAGGTATAAGAAGACTGGAAAGATGTGGTGAGGGGAAGAGGAAGAGGGATGGCATTGGTTAGATTAAGAAGGGCTTTGAGTGCTAGAGGATTTTGTATTTTATCCTGGATGAAATAAGGAGCCAGAGGAGATAATGGAATTAGGAAGATGACACAATCAGACATCTGCTTTAGGAAAATCACTTTGGTGGTTGAATGGAGGATGAATTGGAGTGGGGAGAGATGAGGCAGGCAGCCCACCAACAGGCTTTTGCAGTAGTCCAAGTGTGAGATGGTTAGCACCTGCATTAGAAAGGTGGCAGTATCAGAGGAGAGAAAATATATTTGAGAGAAGTTGCAAAGGTGAAATCAACAGGCCTTGGCAGTAGATTGGATATGGGGGGAGGGATATTGAGGATAGCATCTAGGTGGTGAGCCTGAGGGACTGGGAGGATGGTACTGCCTCTATGGTAATAGGGATGTTTGGAAGTGAGGAATATTTAGGTGGAAAGATAATCAGTTCAGTTTGGGTCATGCTTAGTTTAAAATATCTATCAGACATGCAGTCAGATGGTTCTGAAAGGCAGTTGCACATGTGAGACTGGAAATCAATAAAGAGGTTAGGATAGGAAAACAGATTTTAAAATCTTCAACATAGAGATGATAATTAAGTCTGTGGTAGCTGATGAGATTCCCAAGTAAAGTTAATGCACATATACCTATGCTTATGTAGACATCTACACACATCTACACACACACAGACACAGATACACACACACACACACATACACACATACACACATACACACATACACTCTCTTGTCGGACAGCTTCAGTATCTTACCCATTCATCATTGAGTGTCTTACCTGATCTCACCAGTGTCTCCCAGACCAGCGTCCCATCTGGGTGTCTCAAATCCAAACTGATTTTCTCCTTCACATTGCTGGAGTAAATCTCAGAGAACAATTGACACTCCCCAGCACTCCGGTAGCAGAGTTCTAGTTCCTGGAGAGAGAAACACCAGTAGTATGTGGTCGTTACAGGTTCTCAGAAAAGAACCAAGTCAAACCAAGTATGGCAGGGTAGGGTCATACCCTTAAAATAATAGATTGCACTAAAAAAACTCAAATTAGATATTTACTTGAAAGTTATTTTAAAGTAACTCAAATTTTCATATCAAGTTACTTAACAAAAGTAAGACATTTATCACTAAAAATGCATCCTGAACCAGAGGATTTTGCTGAGATTTCCTGAATTTGGTTTGAATGAAAAAGAGGTGCGTTTACCACAGGATGAGATCAACCAATATCACTTACTGCAGGCATTATTTCCAAGTGTTTTGATCCAGATACTAAGAAACGAGAGCCAATGTAGAGTGGGGTTACTGGAGATGGCTTATGCAAGCGTAAAAAGTGGAACTTTGCTTCTTCTTCATCTATAGCCCAAAGAAAGGGAAAGAAAAATGTTCAACCTGAGAAATCCTTATTTGTCCCAAAAGAACACACAGGAAGGCAACAATTATACACACATACACACACACACATATATACATACACATACATATACATATATGTATGTGTGTATAAAGGTATGTATATGTATGTATACATACATGTATATACACACATAATGTATGTATTTACACATGCATATATATACATAGATCTATTTCTTTCTTTCTTTCTTTCTATCTATCTATCTATCTATCTATCTATCTATCTATCTATCTATATCAATGGCTTTCACCATAGAACTGATGTCAGGCTGGGGGTTGTAAGGTGAGGATGGGGTTGTTAGCTTCTTTAAGCTTTAAGTGCTTTTTGTTAATTCATACTTAGGACAATTCAATCTTACCTTCCTTATTGTACAGTCACTGGGGATCAGATACAGGTGGAATGTGATGTCCTCAGCCCGGAGATGGCAGTATATCAGAGTAGTGGAATAAATGGGAATGAATTTAAAGGTAGAATGCATAATTCTCAGCAGAACTCCCATGGGAGAGAAGCTAGGGTTTTCCAGGATGGCATGAGATGACTCCACTCTTGTTGGATTCTCTAGGACCATACCCTCCTCTTTAAAGTGGGCAATTTTGAACAAGGAGACATCAAATTTTCCTCCTGTCAGAGAATTTCAATAAAAATTACTTCCTATTTCTTCTTTCCTTCTATTTCTTCTAGTAGTCGAGGGTCACTTTCTTTGTGTGACCTCAGTGGAGCTGAGGGTCTGTACTACAGATAAAGATAAGAGTCAGGTCTCTCATTTAAAAATAGGAAATTAACTAAAGCTCTAAGCTAAAAGCAAATTCTTTGGACAGTTTTTGAGATAAAATTAGGAGAAATGAGTAGAAAGAGAAATTAAGACTGAAAGTCACAAGCTGGCTAAAAAAGAAAAGTATATGCATTAATAAATATTGATTAATGATTGACCGTGATACTGCTAAGACCCCTACATACTTTATAAAATTATTCTTAATTAATATGTTTGATTTTAATGCTTCTTCAGATTTTAATTTTCTTTTGTATGGAGCTGACCCTGGGTCCCTAAAGATTATACCAGAAAAGTACAAGTTCTGTCAATTTCTGTCATATTGATCAAATGTGGTCTCAGCAATAGACTGTACCTGATTTTTAACAATTACCATAGTTAAGTATAGAGAGGCTAATTACTAGTTAGCTGGCCAATTGATATTGAATTCTTTGGCCATGGTAACATCAAATACAAATACAAAATGTCTTTCATTTCTATGAAATTTCCTTTATTTCTTCAATGTTGGTGGTAGAGTAGTGGAAAAGCAGATGGTGCTAAGAATCTGCAGTGCTACTATGGTAGGCTGAGGTTAGTGGATCATTTGAGTTTGAGATTCTGAGACATAGTAGGGCTAAAGCTGATTGGTGGGATATCAGCACTAAGTCTGACATCCATATGGCAAACCCCTGGGAATGGGAGGCAACAAGGCTCCCTAAAGAGAGAGAAACTGACCCAGATTGGAAAAACCAAATAGGTTGAAAGTTTTGTGCCAATCAGCATTTGGAGAAGACCCACCTGTGGCTGCTATACTTCCTGCTTAGATAAGAAAGGGAGATCCTGTCTCAAAAACAAAACAGACTGAAACACTCAAACAGAAATTATGATCCCTTGAAAGATACAACAATTGATATAATATCATTTTTCTGACAAATATTATTGAGCGAGGCACAAACAGGGAATGAACATTTGCTACCATCGTGGAGGCAATCCACCATAGAATTCATGCCAAATAGGGATTTCCTATAAATTATGAGATCCTCTAGATACTCCTATTGGCAAATGAAACTGTTTTGATTTCAACAATGCAGACTCCTAAATGGAATCCATGATTGCTTAAAAGAGTTTCACCTGACTGTATACTCAAGAAAAATTAAGTAAAGATTATCTATTAAAAGAATGCCTAGTTTTCCCTTCTTCCTTTTTTCCTAAATTTGCTCAGTTGGAGGTGGGAGAGGGGCAGGTGATGGGAGCATCAGATTAATTAAAAAAAAAACTTGTGACTTGAAAAAAAGAAATTTAAAAAAAGAATTCACCTCCCAGTTATGGTTTATGAAAAATTCCTGATCTTATTCTCATCTAACTATTGTATGCTATGACCTTTTATATTCAACTTACATGTCCATTTTGAGCTTATTATGGTATATGGAGTAGAATGTAGTTCTAAATCTAATTTCTACCAGTTAGATTTTCAGTTTTCCCAGTATTTCTTGTCAAGTAGGAATTTATTACCCAGGTAATTTATGTTCCTATAATTATTGAAAAGGTGGATTTATGGAACAAATGAGTTTAATAGTATATTTTTCTGCTTTATCTTTTCTTCCCTATCTTCTTCCCCATCTGCTTTTTCCTTTTTTTTTTTTAAGGCAATTGCAGTTAAGTGACTTGCCCAGGGTCACACAGCTAGTAGGTGCCAAGTGTTTGGTCTGAGGCCAGATTTGACTTCAGGTCCTCCTGACTTCAGTGATGGTGCTCTATCCACTGCACCACCTAACTGCCCCTGCTTTTTCCTTTTAAACTAGCACAAAATAGCTTAGATGATTACTCCTTACACAGGAGTACTTACTATGAATATGATTTGAGATTAGGAATTGCTATTCTCTGGTCATTCCTACTTCTCAAAAATTATTGTTTCCTTTAACCTTTCATTGTTCAAAATATAATTTTTTCTGACTATAAAGAATCCACTTGGAGGTTTTGTTGACATAATAATAAATCTGTAAATTAACTTAGGTAACCATGATTTGTATTGTTAGCTTGGCCCAGTCATAAGCATGCACATCTCTCCAGATATTTAAGTAATTCTTTGTTGTTCTTATGTTTTGTAATTCTATCTGAACAAGTTTTGAATACGCCTTGGTAGATTGACTGAAAAATAATTTATATATTTTCTAGGTATTTTGAATCAAATTTCCCTTATTCGTATTTCCTCCTGGATTTTGCCATTACTAAATAGAAATGCTATCGATTTTAGGAGTTTATTTTGTATCATGCTACTTTATGGAAGCTATTGTCTCAGACAATTTCTTTTTTGATTCATCTGGAATTTTCTAAATCATCATGCCATCATCAGACAGGAATAATTTTGTCTCCTATTTGCAGGACATGCTACTTTGGGTTGAAACTTGTGTTCTTTTGCCTTTCTGAATGCACTATTCCATCATCTTCTCCAATTCTCAGAACTATGACATAATCATGTATTATTCAAATTGATTTTCCTGTATATTTGAAGGTCTGTTCTCCAGATTTTGCAAAAAATTTATTTGTCCTTGAAATTATTAAATTTGACCACTAGATGTTTTGGAGTTTGAAGTACATGGAAGTTTCATCCCTATCCACTTCCACCCTATGCTCCATAAAATGATCTGTGGATTCTCTAAATCATTGTTTCATTGTTTGTATTCATAAGTTCTTGATAGTTTTAGTGGGTTATTTCCTGCAGATGACATTCAGGTTTTTTGACTTGTCAGATTCTTTGGGGAAACCTATCATACTAAATTACTTCTGATTATCCTGCCACTTTGAATTTGTAGAAAACTCATGTTCATTTAAAATGATTGCTTTTTATTTCTCTTCTGCTGCTGTCCTTTACTTCTGCATTTTTACATTCTAAATCTCTTATTCCCTGTCATAGCTTCTACTTGTTTGGACAAATTTCCCATCATGTATTCAGTTTTTCCTTCTTTGCTAATTGTTTTTAAATTTAGTATTGATAACTAATATCTGATCTATATTCATTTCTAATTACTTATTTTTTGAATTTTATTTTTCTTTTCTACTACACTGGAATTTTTTGGTCTCGTTCCTTGATCTCTGGGAAGTCCAGAGCATTTTATCTTTCATCAGGCAATACTGATTTATTTTCCTTTTATTTTATATTTCTTTAATATACTTTGATTTCTCTGCAATTTTATTCATTACTTCTGTTTTCAGGGCCTTCTCTATTGGTTTACTTGCTTGTGAACTAGGCTTGTATTTAGCCTTTATAACTTAATAATTTGGTGCTTTAGTGGTTTTCTAATAAAAGAGAGGATCTCTTTCATTATTTCTTTTGTCATTCATTTTAGTTTCTCTTCTTCCAGTTGTACAGACCTTTCAATCTGTGTTGTTTGACTCCCTTAGCTTCATCACACTGGGAACATGTGGGAGTTACTATTATTATTTATTGTTATCATTACACAGAAATATCAAGAAATTCTGTTTTAATCTTGATGATTACTTTCCAAAGGGAACTACTCTCCTTTATCACAGGAACTGCATTTCTTAATTGTCTAAGCTAATTTACATCGAAAAAGAATTGGTGGGAGTAATATAGAGCATAATCACAATTTGCTACATTACAGGGATGTCCACTATAATATTAATAGACAATATAATATTAATAGAATAATATTAATAATAACTTTAGTTGTATCACTTACTAAACTCACTCTGTAAGCCTCTGGAACTATTGCTACCATGAGCTCCACCCACATCAGGGAAAGTAGAGGCAGTATCCCTGTTTTGACAAAAGAACTTTTACATATCACCTTTCAAAATAGGCCCTTCACATGATGGGAAGGAAGCCCTGGTAACATATCTCTGCAAGCTATGTAATCAGATATCATTCATATGCTAACATCTCAGTACTGTACACTGCAAAAATATTCAATTAACTTGATAACCACTTTTAGTTTCACCATAATCTCTAGCCATGTTGCTAACAAATGGTCTTAGAGATGAGGACAATCTTGCAAATGCCATGTGGGGGCAGCTAGGTGGTACAGTGGACAGAGCTCTGGCCATGGAGTCAGGGGATGACCTGAGTTCAAATCTGGCCTCAGACACTTGACACTTACTAGCTATGTGACCCTGGGCAAGTCACCTAACCCCGACTGCTTCATCAAAAAAAAAAAAAACTCAAAAAAAATATCATGTAACAGAAGCTAAGTAAGGAGATATTATCCAGAAAAATAGAATAGTCCATAGATCAAATGTTACAAAGAAATGATATTGATCTTGAAGTTTACTAATACTGGGCTTTCAGTCTACTAAGGTCCAACATCTTTTTTGCAGGAAATCGTATGTGGCCACATTTTCTTCATCCTATACTTGAGCAGGTAATTTTATTTAACCTGAATCGAGGACTTTATACTTATTCCTATTTATTATCACCTTTTTAGATTCAGTTTAGAGGAAGATGATAGAATAATGATGACGATGATGATGACAATGATGATGAATAATGATGATGACAACAATAACTCATTTAAATAGATCAAGAAAATAAATCTCATAAAAGAGGTCTTGTCTTTGCTCACTGAAGTAAGGGTCAATTATCATCCATTTGGATACACATGCTATCTATGAAACCACAACAATGATCATTATTGTTATCATGACCAAGACCCCATCTTCCTTCGTTGTCTTCATCATCATCACTTCAATCATTACTACTGTCATCTCCACCATGATTAGCATCAAATATATAGAACAAACTGTAGAGTGAGATAATTAGGCTTTATATTATATAATCTGGATGGTCCTTCTCTCAGTTTTGTTTCTCTTAAAATCTAGACATATTCTCAGTGAGATATAGTTTCAAGCCACTAGCCATCCATTCATTTACCAGCCCATTAAGTCTGTAACTGCACCTGTTGTCATGCCTTGCTATCACAATAAGATTTTCATCTCATATCTCTTTACCTTGGAGGTACACAAAATGAGGGAGATGTACAGAAGTCACAACCCCGGGATCGACTCTGATATGAAATAGAGGGCCAGTAATCATCCAGCTTTGCTTCTGAGTCCAATCCAGGTGTTGATTCCAGGTACCAAATTCAATGTCAACAGTTACTTCACTTCTTACAGAAAAACCAAGTCCAGTATCAGGCCAGTGGTAGAAGCCAGCCATAGGTAAATGAACTCTGGGAAGCACAAAGAGAGACCATCTCAGTAGAATAGAAAAAGCCTTAAAAATTCTCAGTTTGCACAGTAGGCCATATGCAGTACAATTTCTACACACATTAATTACTTCCTTTATCTCTCATCAAAAAGGATCAATTGGAGAGAGACTGATTTTCATATTTGCATAAGAATGAGATAGCACAAAAGCCTGAGATAAATTTGATAAAGAAACATCATTAAATATTTATGGTAAGCAGGAATATCACTGAGATGAAACATCACTAAATATTTAGGAAAGGAAAGAGGAGGCAAAGGGAAGGAGAAAGGAACTGAAGAGAATGGAGGGGAATAGAGGGAAGAAAATAAAAAGGGAGTTCCATTGAGATTGAGAGAGGGCTATGACATCCTTTTTCTGTGAGTCACATACACCAAAAAATGACTCCTCTTGGGACAGAAAATAATGAAGAGACCATTGCCTCTCACCTGTATATGTTTCTGTTCTTGTTTATCAATTCAAGCTTTACTGGTCCATTTGGTCCCAGAAACTTATTGTGGCACCTCTCCAGGTCTAACTGTTCATCTTTTAAAGGATCAAAAGAGGACAGTGAGGAAGTCACTTCTGACTTTGTTTGTGGGGCTACTTCTCCTGGAAATAAATGTTAGATATGTAAAAAATTCAGGAAAAGAAAAAAAACTGATTCTCTCAGATTCACATCAAGGCATAACAGTTTGCTCCATTGCTCCCATCTCTGGTCTCTATGACAAACTCATTAGAGGCATAAAGTGCTCAGTGCTCTCTCAAGCAATGTGAACCAATGGTGTGATCATGACTATGTGAGTTTTATGCCTTCATTCTAGTTGAGCAACCCACATTCCTGGATCATGTAGTGTAAAAGAAGTCTTGCCTCCTAAGTCTTCCCTTTGGACCAGGGCTTGTACTCATCTTCATGACATACTGATGACCATGGCCAGTAGCCTTCATGTCAGCTTATTCCTGAGAGCTTGAAAACAGTACTAAAAAAAGATACAGGGGAGGAGAAACAATGTGAAGGTAAGGGAAGAGTTATTGGGAGAGATCTTTGCTATTCCCATTTATCTATAATAGAGTCCCAAAGGCAGGCTGTAAAGCAGTCACCAGCAACATAGCTCTATTTATAATAACATTTTCTTCCTGTTCACGTATCACTACACAGAAGGATGACCTTAAATATTTTTATGATTCTTTCCTCTAAGCTTTTTTTATAAAATTTGGAGAATCAGGCTTAGGGAGGAGTAAAAAACTGTGATTTGGCCACATTGTATTTCATCTGGTCATTTAGCTCACCCACAAATTCCTAAGGAATTTGGGTCACTGTGGGTGACTTAAGACAATGGCAAACACATCTTTACCCCCCAAATCTGTATTGTCATATTGTATTTGGTGTTTAAAATAGTTTTCAAGTAGCCCTGAAAATGCAGACACAAGGAGGATTATCCTGATGAAAATATTTGGATTACTTTATCCATTCAAAAGAGATGAATACAAAAAAACAAGTAACAAAATAATCAAGAAACAAGAAACAAAGAGCTTTTTTTTTTCCAGTGCTTTCTAATTCTTGGTGACCCCATTTGGGGTTTTCTTGACAAAGATACTAGAATGATTTGCCATTTCCTTCTCAGCTTATTTTACAGATGAGGAATCTGAGGCAAATAGGGTTAAGTGACTTGCCCAGGGTCACACAACTACAAAGTATCTGAGGCCAGATTTGAACTGAAGATGAGTCTTCTTGACTCCAGGCCCAGCACACTATCCACCGTGTCACCTAGCTACTCCTAAACAAAGAACAAACTTTGTTGAATATTTCCCTTTTGAATATACTGATTCAGAGGTAAAGGGTCTTTGTTTATAGATTATTTAAAATTGGATATAATACAAGCCATCTGTCCTAAATAGTTTAACCTAAATCCTACTTACAATGGGATGGAGTGGGAGCCACAATATTTGAAGGGCTTATTGCTGTATAGGATTCCAAGACTGCAATCTTTCCCTGTTTTATAGAATTCATCAGGATTCACAGGATAATCCATCTTTCCTCTGCATTTTCAGGGCTACTTCAGAACTATTCTAATCACCAAAGACAATATGACAATATGGATTTAGGTGTAATGATATGTCATCCATAATCTTAAGTCAGCCACAGTGACCCAAATTCCTTAGAATTTCCTAGAATTGTGAAGATTCCCTAGAGATCCTGTAGAATAAAACAGATGAGTTGAGACTGTGGAGAAACAGGGCTAAGGGGAAGATGACTTGAAAAAATGTTTATTATTGCTGAGACCACTGGGAAGGGTTGTATATTGAAATAGAAGGGAAAAGAAGAAACAGTGACAGGCATGGTAGGAGAAAGGGGAGATTATATGATCAAAGTTCCTATGTTGCCCTCTCTTGCAAAAACCAGGAGACGCAGAATCCTCCTATACTCATGAAACTAGGCTTTGTTACAGTCTCTACCTTCTCCCTATAATAGGCCACCCCAAAGAAATCATGGGACAGCTTTTTACTTAACATCTTCATGTATTTCCCACTATTTTATAGAGAAATTATGATTCTCATGTTGACTGATTTCCCTACCAAAATAGTTTCTTTTATGTTGGTATGTACCCTTCCTGATTCCTGCTAAATCCCTGTTGGTTTCTGCATCTAGTTTCATGGGCTCCCTGAAGGCTTTTTGATTGAGGACTTCAATTCACTCCCAGTTTTAGAGGGTCTTTTGTTTCTCCACAGTCTACCATCTTCATTCACACAAGTAGCTGTTTCTAACTGCCTCCTATATGCAGGGTAGATGCAAGAAAGGAAAGAAATATAAGTAAGAAATGATCCTTGCTCTTGAGGAACTTATTAACTAGTAGAAATCATTACACACATAAAGATAAATACAACACAAATTTGAATATAGGGAGTGCATAAGTACAAAGTATTAGAAGGCATCTGAAGTAGGCCTTGGAGGATGAATAAGATGATAGCAGTAGGAGAAATAAGAAAGGCCTTTCAACTATAGGTAGGTATGATGGGGTACTTGGACTCCAGTCCTAGATTTATGTCTCTCCCCAGCCCAAAGACCCTATCTCTGGCAATAATTCATGAGTTGGCCCCAGTGAGGCTAACTATCTCTCCCTGTTACAAGAACAAGCTGATATCTGTAGAATTTCCCTTGTATGAACAAGACTATCTTGTAGCAGCAGAATTATCATGTACTGATTCCCACAGTTACTGTATACAATCCAGATGTCAAGCCATATACTTCAACTCCCAAGGCTACTTTGTTACAGATGTAGACACATAGACGTACACACCCCTTAGAAGGCCCTCTCTCCTCCCTGGCTATTGCGGTACTGAATGATGCCTGTGTCCAAGGTACAGAAACTATATATTCATGACCTAATTAGCATACTTGCCATAAAATCTGCTGTGTCTTTCCTATAAAAGCTTTAACATCACTCGGATTAGGTTGAGAGTCCCTTAAGGAGCTCTGCCCTCCATATTGGTGTTATAATAAACTTTTTGCCATTTGACTGGAAGTCTGCTTGAATCTGTGAATACTTTCCAGACAACTCTGCCCTGAACCTCTGTACTTTGGGGTCCCTGTACCCATAAACCACATCAGGTAGACTTGGGTGGGTACAACCTCTGTACTTTGGGGTCCTTGTACCCATAAACCACATCAGGTAGACTTGGGTTAAGAGGATGTCAAACAGTTCAATTTTTTCTAAATCATAGAAGACATGATATAGAGTAATGTGAGATGAGACTGGCGAGGTGAGACAGACCTGGGCCATGAATACCAAGCAAAAGAGTTTGGAGCCATTAAAGATTCTGACAAGTACAGCCATTTGGTCACACATGATATATTAGGAAACTTAATCTCATAGCAGGATATGGATTAGATTGAAATGAGGAGAGACTGGAGATCAGTAATCTATTGTAGGAGTGCAGATTTAATGTAATGGGGACCTGGACTAAAATCACATCAGAGGAAATGGTAACAGTAGAATAAATATAAGATATTATAGAGAGGTAGCTAGGTGATGCAGTGGATAGAGCACTGACCTTGGAGTCAGGAGGACCTGAGTTCAAATCCCATCTCAGACCAGATACTTGACACTTACCTTGGGCAAGTCACTTAATCCCAATTGCCTCACAAAAAAAAAAGATTATAGAGAAAGAATTAAGATGTTGTATCTTTTTAAACTGATTTTATGTGCAGGAACATGGAGAGGGAAGAATCAAAGAATTCTGCATTTATGAACATGAGTGACTGAGAAAAATGGCACCATTGACAGAAAGAAGGACATCAAGAAAATAAGAAGAAAAATGACATGTCATCATCAACCTTATCACTAACACTTGTATATCCCTTTAAAGCTTGCAAAGTACTTTACTTGCACTATTTCATCCTATCTTTGCAACAGCCCTATGAGGTAGGTAATAATAATAATTGAAATTATATAGGGCATTAAGTGCTTTACAAATATTATCTCACCTTATCCTTACAACAACACTGGGAGATAGACAATATTATTATCCCCATTTTTTTTTGGCAAGGCAATTGGGGTTAAATGACCTGCCTAGGGTCACAGAGCTAGTAAATGTCAAGTGTCTGGTCTGAGACTGGGTTTGAGGTCAGGTCCTCCTGACTCAGGGCTGGTGCTCTATCCAGTGTGCCACCTAGCTGTCCTCAATATTATCCCCATTTTACAGATGAGGAAACTGAGGCAGACAGAAGTTTAGTAACTTGTTCAGAGTCACATGACTAGCAATTATCTGAGACAGCATTTAAACTGACTCAGGTCCAGCCTTCAATCCACTTTGCCACCTATTGGTGCAAGACACCTTGATCTTGAGAAGCTGGTAGGTCATCAAGGTAGAGATACTTATAGAGTTAGAAATGGAAATCTGAAGCTTAGGGGACAGTTCAGGAATGGAAATGTAAACTTGGGGCATTGTCTGTAAAAAGATGACAGTCAGCCAATCAACTAGCATTTATTAAGGTGATTCATTAAGTTCAGATGATGGGAGCCTGAACCAGGACAGCAGCCATGTGAGTGAAAAGAAGTGAATACATAAGAAAGATGTTGTAGAGGTGAAACCAACAAGACTTTGCAACTAAGCACCAACTATGCGTCAGGCACCGGGGATATAAAGAAAGGCAAAAATAGTCCCTGCTTTAAAGGAGGAAGGAAAAAAATATTTATTAAACACCTATTATGTGCTAGGCACATAATCTTTACAAACATTATCTCAGTTGATACTCACAAAAACATAGGGAGGTAGGTGCTATTATTATCCCCATTTATAGTTGAGGAAATTGAGACAAACATAGGTTAAGTGACTTGCCGAGGGTTACATAGCTAGTAAATAACATAGACTGGTTTTGAACTCAGGCCCAGTGTTCCTACCACTGTGCCACCAGAACTGTTACCCTATAGACAGTGAATAAAGAAATTTTCTGAACCAAAAAGTTTATGTAGGGAGGCATTAAGAAATAATGCTGAAAAGATAAGATAGGAACAGATTGCTGAAGAGCTTTTGTGTAAGGCTAAGTTTTATCAGTTATAGTAGCCAAGATAGTGACAGTATCAGAGTTGGGAATGAGGAAGATTAATCTGGAAGTGTGAGTATGATAAGAAGAGATAACAGAAATAAGGGTTAAGAGGCTGTTTCCATAGCTTAGGATAAGATAATAAAGGCCTATTCTACTTAGGTCTCTCATTACCTGATGTGGAACTCTGAAGCTCCAGTGGGAAATTAAGATAATCCTCTTTTTTCATGTCAACATCAGGAATTGTCTCCATTTTTTCCTGCAAAGAAAATATGCAATCAAAGTAGACATTTTGTTGATGGAGGTAAGAAAAGAGAATAGCCTAGTGCTTGGACATAGACACTGACTAGTAAAGGGAATAAAAAGAATAAGCATTTATTAGGCACCAACATCATGCTAGGCACTGTGCTCAATGCTATACAAATATTCTCATTTGATTCTCACAATAATACTAGCACTATTATTTTCCCCATTTTATAGATGAAGAAACTGAGGCAGTCATGATTTACCCAGGGTCACACAGCTAGTAAGTGTCTAAGACTGGATTTGAACTCAAACCTTCTAGATTCCAGGCTCAGTTCTTTGTCAATTGCTAGAGGCTTGATGCTGAAACACATACTTTGAACGCAAAAAGCCTGCGTGTTCCATGGTCAAAAATGGAGCCATCACTGCCAGGTCTGTTGCTCATAAAGAATCTTTCATGGGGGAGTAAATTTAAATTAAACCTCACTCTGGGAACTTTTCCTTGGCATTTTCCTTTCTCTCTTTCATGTCTCCTCTTCCCAAAAGAAACTTCTCTCATCCCACTTCATTTAAACAATGAGCAGTAACAACATCAACAAATAATGTATTAAATACTTAGCTCTGTGCAAGGCTCAGTGCTTGAGATGCAGAGGTGAAAAATGAAACAGTCCATTTGCTTTCAAGGGAATTAGAACATGTACTTAAGTATGATATAAGAAAGAATGGGATGGGAAAAAGGAATAATCCAGATAGTTCTCTATGAACATTTGAGCAGGTAAGCTCACTTTCTTTTGTTTTTCTTATTTTTTTTTTTTGAGAGGGAGATCACTCAAGGTTTTATGAAGGAAGTAGGACCTAAGCTTGACTCTGAAGGAAGAGAAGCATTTTTCAAAATTTATTTATTTTTCATTTTCAACATTCACTTCCATAAGATTTTGAGTTCCAAATTTTCTGCCCATCTCTCCCCTCCCTTAACCCCAAGACAGAGTGTAATTTGAGATAGTCTTTAACATATTCATTCATATTAAACCTATTTTCATATTAGTCATATTGTAAAGAATTAGAACCAATGGGAGAAACCACAAGAAAGAAGAAATAAAAAAAGAGAGAGAGCAAATAATATTCTTCGATCTGCATTGAGACTCCATAGTTATTTTTCTGGATGTGGACAGCATTTTCTATCATGAGTCTTTCTTGCATTGCTAAGAAAAGAGAAGTCTATCAAAGGTAGTCATTACACAGCGTGGCTGTTAATGTGTGTAACGTCCTCCTGGTTCTTCTCATTTCAGTCAGCATCAGCTCATGTAAGTCTTTCCAGATTTTTCTGAAATCCACCTGCTTATCATTTCTTATAATACAATAGTATTCCATTACATTCACATACCACAACTTGTTCAGCCATTCACCAATTGAAGGGCATCCCCTCGATTTCCAATTTTTGGCAATCACAAAAAGAGCTGCTATAAATATTTTTATACATGTGGATCCTTTTCCCATTTGTATGATCTCTTTGGGATACAGTCCTAGAAGTGGTATTGCTGGGTCAACGGGTATGCACAATTTTATAGCCCTTTGGGCGTACTTCCAAATTGCTCTCCAAAATGGTTGGATCAGTTCACAACTCCACCAACAATGCATTAGTGTTCCAATTTTCCCACATCTTCTCCAACACTTATAATTTTCTGGTTTTATCATGTTAGACAATCTGATAGGTGTGATGTGGTATCTCAGAGTTGTTTTGATTTGCATTTCTCTAATCAATAGTGATTTAGAGCATTTTTTCAGATGGCTATAGATAGTTTTAATTTCTTCATCTAAAAACTGCCTATTCATATAATTTGATCATTTATCAGTTGGGGAATAACTTGTCTTCTTATGCATTTGACTCAGTTCTCTATATGTTTTAGAAATGAGGCCTTTATCAGAGACAGTGATTGTAAAACTTTTCCCCAGTTTTTTGCTTCCCTTATATCTAAATAGCGTACTCATTTTGACTTCATTCTGGTGTACAGTGTAAGATGTTGGTTTATGCCTAGTTGCTGTCATATTATTTTCTAGTTTTCCCAGTAGTTTTTGACAAATAGTGAGCTCTTATCCTAGAAGCTGGAGTCTTTGGGTTTATCAAACAGAAGATTACTATAGTCATTGACTACCATGTCTTGTGTACTTAATCTATTCCACTGATCCACCACTCTATTTCTTAGCCAGTACCAAGTAATTTTGATGATTGCTGCTTTTTAATGCAATTTTAGATCTGGTATGGCTAGACCACCTTCCCTTGCATTCCTTTTCATTAGTTCCCTAGATATTCTGGACCTTTTGTTCTTCCAGATGAATTTTATTATTATCTTTTCTAGCTCTACAAAATAATTTTTGGTAGCTTAATTGGTATGGCACTGAATAAGTAAATTAATTTAGGTAGAATTGTCATTTTTTATTATTTTAGCTCAGTCTACCCACAAGCAACTGATGCTTTTCATTATTTAGATCTGACTTTATTTGTGTGAAAAGTATTTTATAATCGTGTTCATATAGTTCCTGGGTTTGTTTTGGCAAGTAGACTCTCAAATATTTTATAATGCCTGCACTAACTTTAAATGAAATTTCTCTTTCTATCTCTTGCTGTTGGGCTTTGTTAGTAATAAATAGAATTATATATAGCTGTTGATTTATGTGGGTTTATTTTATATCCTGCAACTTTGCTAAAGTTGTTTATCATTTCAAGTAGTTTACTTGAATCTCTAGGATTCTTTAAGTACATCATCATATTATCTACAAAGAGTGATAGCTTTGTTTCTTCTTTGCCTATTCCAATTACTTTAATTTCTTTTTTCTTCTCTTATTGCTAGAACTAAAGTTTCTAGTACCATATTGAATAACAGTGCTGATAATGGACATCCTTTTTTTCATCCCTGTTCTTATTGAAAATGCTACTAGCTTATCTCCACTACATGTAATTCTTGCTCATGGTTTTAGGTAGATACTACTTATCATTTTAAGGAAGATTCCACTTATTCTTATGCTCTCTAGTGTTTTTAATAGGAATGAGTGTTGTATTTTGTCAAAAGCTTTTTCTGCAACTATTGAGATAATCACACGGTTTCAGTTAAGTTTATTGTTGATATGGTCAATTATGCTGATAGTTTTCCTAATATTGAACCAGCTCAGTATTCCTTGTATAAATCCTGCCAGGTCATAGTGTATCATTCTTGAGATAAGTTGCTGCAATCTTTCTGCTAATATTTTATTTAAAATTTTTGGTAAATAAATAAATAACACTAAGAGCTGGTTTTATGAAAAAAATAGATAAAGCTTTGGTTAATTTGATTAAAAGAAGAAAGAAGAAAACCAAATTACCAGCATCAATAATGAAAAGGGTAAATCCATCACCAATGAAAAGGAAATTAAAACAATACTTAGGAGTTATTTTGTCCAGCTGTATGTCAATATATCTGACAATCTTAGTGAAATAGATAAATATTAACAAAAATATAAATTACCCAGATTAACAGAAAAGGAAATAAAGTACTTAAATAACCACATTTTAGAAAAAAGAAATTGAACAAGCCATCAATGAACTCCCTAGGAAAAAATCTCTAGGGCCAGATGGATTTACAAGTCAATTCTATCAAACTTTTAAAGAATAATTAATTCTAATACTATATAGACTATTTGGGAAAATAGGTAAAGAAGGAGTCCTACCAAATTCTTTTTATGATATTTGATATCATAAAATATGATACTCATACCTACACTGGGAAGAGCCAAAACATAGAAATAAAATTATAGACCAATTCCTCTAATGAATATAGATCCAAAAATTTTAAATAAAATACTAGCAGAAAGATTACAGCATATCTTTAAACTACACCCCCTGAAACAGATCAAAAAATGTTATTTTGGGGGGCAGCTAGGTGATGCAGTGAATAGAGCTCTGGTCTTGGAGTCAGGAGGACCTGAGTTCAAATCCAGCCTCAGACACTTAACACTTACTAGCTGTGTGACCCTGGGCAAGTCACTTAATCCCAATTGCCTCACCAAAAAGCAAAAAAAAAAAAAAGTTATTTTGTAATCCCTGTTAATGAAGCACCAAAGCAAAATGAGCAGGCTTAAAAATTCAGTTAGGGCTTAGTTTGGTCTGTATGATGCTGAATGCCTTCAGTATGATGGCAGATTTTGAATTTCTTGCTGATGTGCCTGAACGGGAGGGGCTTTTTTTTTTTTTGACAGTCTTTATTTTCATGCCTGCAAACTATCTGTAAATGTTTGTGATGTCATTAGGAATGTCTTTTGAGATGAGCTTCACTAAAAACACCTGTACTTCAGTCACAACTCAGGGAGAGATCATGCCAAAAGAAACATAGGACCATAGATTTGGAGCTGAAAGGAACTTAGAAGCCATTGAGTTCACCTATTTCAGTTTTGAGGAAATGGGCATTGAGAGGATAAGTGATTTGCCCGGTGACAGACAGATAGTAAGTTTTGAGGCAGGCTTTGAATTCAGGTCTTCCTAATTGAAAGTCCATTACTCTCTCCATTATGTCACCTAACTTTCATGGACAGCAAAGCGGAGCATGGGAGACAGAAAGAAACAGAGAGAGAGAGAGAGAGAGAGAGAGAGAGAGAGAGAGAGAGAGAGAGAGAGAGAGAGAGAGAGAGAGAGAGAGAGAATGCATGTGCATGCTCACTGTATATCTTTGTATTTCTAAGTCACCAGTGAACATTTACTAAGCACCTACTCTGTGCCAGGCACTGTGCCTGCAATTTAGGGGAAAAAATCATTGAATTAAATCATGATCATGTGCATGCTTATGATGTATGTCAATACATTAAATTTGCTCATGTAATTCTAAATGACTAGGTATTAGTATTTTCTAGGGGATAAACATCTGACACAAATATCACACATGAAGAACTTACAAAGAACGCTTTCTCTTCAACAGGGTTTCAAGCTCTTTTTTCATGTCTTTGCTTGATTCAGTCAGACAAAGCCTATGGAAATAGGAAAGAAATCATATTCTGATTCTAGTGGGATTCTTTCACTCATCAATTCTGGAGGCAGCTACATCAGCCCAGTCCCTGAGAAACAGGGAAAATCTCAGACATACATGAACCAACACTCACATTTATCTCCCCCATTATTACTCTCTTGGGTTTTTACCACTTTCATAACTCCACCCTCTCTATCTAGGAAACTGACAAAATGACTATTAGGGTTTTGCCTAGCCTCATTTCTTACCTAGCCTTAATTACTGAATGGGGTTGCCTCAGTCAAACTGAGCCCTGGGAAAGATATTAGCTTAAAAAGGCCAAGATCTCCCAGTGCATCCAGGGCCATCTCCATTTGTCCTGATCTATCTCTTGCCACTGGATTCAGATGGCACCAGAGGAGAAGGTGAGGCTGGTGACTTTGCACAGTCCTTCCTCACTTAAATTGAATTCATTTGCAAGTCATGACCTCACCTTCCTGATGTCATGGTCCTCTTCAAGAAGGAAGGACAAACAACAACACTAATATAAATAAATAGATAGCATTTATATAGTGCTTTAAAGTTCACAAAGCACTTTACAAACATTATGCCATTTACTCTCACAACCCTGGAAGGTAGGTACTATTATCCCCATTTTACAGATAAGGAAACTGAGATAAGTATTAAGTCACTTGTCCACAGGGTCACAACGCTATTGAGTGTCTAAACACACATTTCAACTCATATCTTCCTGACTCCTGGTCCAGCGGTCAGAGAGAAATGATTATTAATAACTAATTAATATGGAGGTGAGGGAAATCCCAGGATTTTTTCCCTTTCTATTTACTTGTTCAAAGCCCAGTACTTGTGAAGGGCATGAGACTGGGTTAACATTCTCCTCAATCTTGGGCAGGTTCTCACCCAGCTAGGAAACTTTGTTCTGATTAAAGTGTAAAAAGAATCTAATGTAGGTGAAGAGAATCTAATATAGGTTAAGTCTGGCCCACTGTTCAACTCCAGAAGTAGTGTGGGTAGAGGTCGATCGCTTTGTCTGGGTCTCCAGAAGTGGGTGTGGTCTGGGTATAGATGAATCTCTTTGTCCAAGACTGAAATGATCAGAGTCATGTCCCTCAGTCCAGCATTAGCCCTCTCATTATAATATTTATTCTCTTATTAATTGTTAACCAGAGTTGATTTCCACCTTTCAGGAACACCCAGCCTCCCAAGGTTATTTAAACACTGAATGTTCACAGGGGAAGGGGGAAGGCAGGCTTCTCCCTTCCAAGAGAGTCACTGACCTCAATCTATTAATTATTCACAAGCCATAATTAATAAATTGATTACTAATTACCCAGAAGCTCTGTCTCCCCAAAATTTCATTTATCACAAGTCTATCCATTGTATTACCTAGTTGCTTGTAATGAAGCTGCCAGGCAGGGGCTACTAATGACAAACTTTTTCCTCTCCAAAAAAGATAGCTTCAAATGCATCTGCAAGATGATACACTGCAAAGGCTTTTCTAGCATGAAAATGACTTCCTGCTGACCCATCTCATCTGTGTAAAAGACTCTAACTTGTGAAATATGGAACAAAATGCCCGGAGTGAATATTAGCCTGTTCCCTCCACCTCCAGGGTGGGCTTCAGAGTTGGGAGCCTGGTTGAGGAGGCTGAAGGTGAATCTGAAATTCTATCATGATCAAGCAGGAGAACCTTTGTTTTTTAGGAGCCCATTGTCACTAGTGTAAGGGAAGTATTTTAGAATCCAGCCAACGACATGAAGAATAGGCTCCTATCAGTAACAGGTCCAAAGCTAACAAGCCCGTGGGATGAGGCCTACTCTCCCTCCCTTCCCTTCTCCCTGCTTTTCCCACTCAATCAGGAACATTCTTAAAAATTCCAAAATGGAGAACTGGTGCCAAAGTAGCATTTACTTCCCTTCCAATCACTGCTCCAGACCTCCTAAAAGAGAATGAGCATTTGTAGCATACCCTAGAGATGTGATCTTTCCTGTATAAAAACAAAAAGCTGCTAGATACAAACCTGGAAATTTGCATGACTCCACCCCACTGCCTCCCTCCCAGCTCCTTGTCCTTCTCCCTCCCCACTCTGCAGCACCTCAGTGGTCTGGATAGAATATCCTGCAATTAATCTCAGTTGGATATAGAAATCTGGGCACAGGTTTTGTCCTTTTCTTTTCCTGGCATAGATGAAGATATGGTATCATCTATCCACGATCTCTTTTCTGTCAAATAGAACTTTAATAGCTTCAATCTGGCATGCCTTTAGTGTCTTAACATGTAAATGGTGGAAAAGAACACCACCTTAGTTTTCCACACAGGCACAAGGGACTCTTTGTTACAAAATTTTGTGTCCCCAAACAAAGAAAAGCTAGGGTAAGAATCTGGGCTGGATACTGAAAAGCTGAAAAGTGAACACTGCATTTGCCATAAGAAAGATACATAGTTCCATCTGCCTGCAAAATGCCTAGTAAAGGCTTCAAGACATAAGAAAAGAAGATACTCACAAGAAAATTCTCCATGTGCCAGGACAGTGCTGAATACAGATAACTGCACTCAGGGCTTTATTCTGCTTTGGAATATCTACTTTGATTTCTTGGATGTAAACTAATGCCTGTGTTACAGAGTCAGCATCTTGAGACTCATACATGCTGAGAAATTAGTATTAGAAAGCCTGGATTGTTTATAATCTCTTTTGGTTTCTCCCTCAACCTGATGGGGTTGGAATCTGGACCCCAGAAAGGAAAGACCCTGGACTTTCCCACTAGGCCAAATCTCTGGCATTCTCCCGAGGCTATAATCACATCAACCGGCCTTTTCATTGTGGCTACAACCAATCTCTCCTCCAATGTCTTACTGGCCATTTCCCACCCTTAATCCTAGCCAGGCTTCATTCTCTCTTGGTCCAGATCCCAGGAGTTCTGTTCACCCCTGCTTACTGGCCACTCCCATTCAGATCTTCCTTAGACTCCTCCTTCAGTCACACCATACTACTTGGCCACTCCTAGATCCTTCCCACAGTCTTTCTGTACACAAGGTCCATCTTGTCTCCATTAAGGTGCTTAGATTCTTATAATCTAGCCATTGCTTGGATTCTTAAAATCTAGCCACTGCTCAGATTCTTATAATCTAGCTAATAGTTTACTAATGTTCAGACTCCTTAAGAGTGCCCAATATGACAAAAGTTCTAATAAACCTTATCATTGGCTGAAAGAAGGTTTGGGTCGAATTCTTTCAGGCAGGATCCATGTATTCTGATTTTGGAGTCCCAGCACCCCTAAACCTCATCAAACCCACTGCAATAATTGTGACTTGATTTCTGCTGACATTCTACATCTGACTTCTTCTCCAGCTCCCTTGCTGTCTCTCCTCTCAGCTTCTTTCCTCCTGTCTCCTCCTCTGCCTCCCCTGCCTCCTCTCTCTCTGGATAGATTAGAAAGAAGAAAGACTTGAGGTATGGAAACCAGCAGGGGTGGGGGGGAACCTGAGGCCTCGAGGCTACATGTGGCGCTCTAGGTCTTCAAGTGTGGCTCTTTGACTGAATCCAAACTTCATAGAACAAATCCCCTTAATAAAAGGATTTGTTGGGGCAGCTAGGTGATGCAGTGGATACAGCACTAGGCCTGGATTCAGGAGGCCCTGAATTCAAATCCATCCTCAGACACATAACACTTATTAGCTGTGTGACTCTGGGCAAGTCACTTAACCTCATTGCCTAGCTAAATAAATAAATAAATAAACGAAATTATTTGTTCTATAAAACTTGGACTCAGTCAAAAAGCCCCACCCAAGGACCTAGAAGGCCACATTTGGCCTCCAGGTAGAAGGTTCCCTACCCCTGAGTTAGTGGGCTATTGCAATAGTGAAGGTAAAAGGTGATGAGGGTCTGAACTAGAAGAGGAGTTGCATGCATAAGAGAAAAGAAACAGATAAAGGAGTTTTTTTTTAATTTTTTCTTGAAAAAGAAATTCCAAAATTTGGCAACTGATTATATATGCAGTGAGAAGGGGAGGAATCAAGAATAATGGTGAAGTTGAAAACCTGTTTGACCAGAAGGATGGTTTCCTCAATGGAAATAGGGAAGTTAGGAAGAGATGTGGGCTTTCTTGGAAAGATAACCAGTTCAGTTCAGACATGTTGAGTTTGACATGCTTACAGGCTATCCAGAGACTAGGACTGATAATAACAGATTTGGAAGCCATGCACACAGATGTGATAAGTGTCTGTTAAAGAGAAAGGCAGTATTCCTTTAGCAATCCAATCTTTCCCTGTCATGTTACTCCTTAGGGCACAGTGAGAGGGAGAATGGTGGAAGACTATGAACCCTGAACCTGGATTAAGCAGACATTTTCTACTGTCCATTCCCTGGTTTGTGTTGTTCTCTCTTCCCGATGCACTCCTGTCCCTGATGCCAAGCATAATATCAACCAAGGAATCATGGGAACTCACCTCAGTTTCTCTAACTTGCAGTTTTGACTTTCCAAGGCCTTACACAGAAGTTTTATTTCCCACTCTTCAAAGGAATTTTCACTCAGATCTAGGTCTTTCAGGCTTGCATTGTTGCTGAGAGCAGAGAAGAGATTCTGAGAACATGTAGGGTTAAGATTACAAGACCGCAAACTGTAGGAGAAAACATAATCAGAGGGAGAGTGGTCAGTTCAATTTTATGTGATTAATTTACTTTGTGTTTTTCTCTGGGCAATGCTAAAAACACACCCACTTGATCATCACCATCCACCATCCTCTTCTTTTCAGGGGAATGAATGTAGTTTCTTTAAAAATGGTCACTCTGTTCCAGAGAACAGCATTTTTAGATGTCAAATTATACTATAAGGCAAGAATCATCTAAAAAAATTGGAAAAGTACACCAATAGACCAGATTAAATAAGAAAGAATCAGAAACTAAACTCAATAAGTAGTCTCCAATAGACATGAGAACATTAATTACTTATGTAAGAATTCCCTATATTAATTTTGAATGAATTCATAAAGGCCAAGGTCTCCCACTGAATCCAGGGCCACCTCCAGTCCTACTGATGTATATATATCTCATCAGTAGACCCAAATGACTCTAGAGGAGAAAGTGAGGCTGGTAACTTTGCATAGCCCTCCCTCACTTAAATCCAATTCACTTGCATATCATTTCATTACCTCCCAAATGTTATGGTCCTTTTCAAGAACTAAGGACAAGCAAAAATATCTGTGAATAGAAAGGTTAGCTGTCCCACTGGGGATCCAACTGGAACTGGCCACTTGGGCAACACAGATCCTCCATATAGAGTATCACATTCTTACCTGAGGGTGCACTGTCCAAAGGAATGTAAATTTTGATCTCTGAAACTTTTTTTTCCTTAAGGACCAAGCCTTAAACCCAAATCTCTCTGGTTCTTATTGATTGGCCAACAATAGGTCCCAGGCCAAGCCTCATTTGGTCATTGGGCCCAGACTGGCCCAGAGTAAATGTTAACAGCAATTGCTTCTGTTTTGTCCAGAAACCCTAAGGGTCTTCCCCTCCCAGACTGATTTTTTTTTTTGCCTATGGAAAGAGGCCATTCTCTGCCTCATTTATTACCTATTCTCAATTATTGAATGGGCATTGCCACAGTCAAACTGAGACCTGATGAGGATGGGAGCTAGATCCCAAAAAGGAAAAAACCCTGGACTTTCCCACAAGGTCTAATCTCTGGCATTCCCCTGAGGCTATAATCCCATCAATTGACCAATCTCTGTGGCTATGCCCAATCTCTGTCTCTTAACCTAGCCTGGCCCCCCATTGTCTTACCTCCCCAGTGGCCTGGCCATTTCCCACCCTTAATCCTATCTAGTAGGCTCCATTCTCCCTTGGCCACCCCTGAAGTTCTATTACCTCATAGACTACTCAGCCACTCCTAGATCCTTCCCATAGTCTTTCTGTCTATAAGGTCCATCTTGTCTCCAATAACATGCTGGGATTCTTATAATCTAGCCACTGCTCAGATTCCTAAAATCTAACCACTGCTTAGATTCTTAGCATCTAGCCAATACTTGCAGACTCCTGGATTCCTCAAGGGTCTGGCAATATGGCAGATCTTTAATAAACCTTGTTTTTGACTGAAAGAAGGCTTGGGTCAAATTCTTTCAGGCAGGACTCACGTGTTGTGATTCAAGACTTTATCTTGAAAAGGCCTAAGTCTCCCACCACATCCAGGGCCACCTCCAGTTGTACTGGCCTATATCTCTCTACTGGACCCAGATGACTCTGGAGGAGATAGTGAGGCTGGTGACTTTGCACAGCCCTCCCTCACTGAAATCCAATTCACTTGCACTTCATAGCTTCAGTTCCCTGATGCCATGATCCTCTTCAAGAAAAGGACAAACAACAACAACAACAATTCCTTAGGACATAGTGAGAAAAGGCTATAAGACTATGAACTCTGAACCTGACTTAGGCAGATAGTCTCCACTCTCCATTCCCTGGTTTATGTTACTCTCTCTTCCTGATGCACTCCTATCCCTGATGCCAAGCAGAACATCAACCAAGGGAACATGTGGAAACTCACCTCAGTTTCTCTAACTTGCAGTTTTGATTTTCCAAGGCCTTACACAGAAATTTTATTTCCCCCTCCTCAAAGGAATTTCGACTCAGATCTAAGTCTTTCAGGCTCTCATTGCTACTGAGAGCAGAAAAGAGATTTTGGGAACATGCAGGAGTAAGATGACACCACGCCAAACTGTAGGAGAAAACATAATCAGAGGGAAAGTGGTCAATTCAATTTTCTGTTATTAATTCACTTCCTATATTTTCTGGACAATGCTAAAAACACATCCACTTTATGATGACCATCCTTTGTCATCTCCTTTTAAATAGAATGCATTTTCTTTAATAACTGTCAGTCTTTTCCAAATAACAGCATTTTTAGACCTCAAATTTTACTATAAAGCAAAACTATTTAGTACTAGTTAAAAAAAATAGAAAAGTATACCAATAGGCCAGATTAAATAAGCAAGAATCAGAAATAACTAAATTCAATAATTAGTCTTCAATAGACATAAAAACATATGAAAAAAAATTGCTAGAAAAACTGGAAAACATTTTGGCAGACATTAGGTTTAGACCAGTATCTACAACATATACCATAATTTACTCAAAATGTACGTGTGGCCTGAATATTGAAGGTCATAAGGGGAAAAAAGGAGGGGAGGGGAGAAAAGAATCAGATCAGAAACATTAGACAACTATGAAAAATGGAGAATTCTTACATAATGGCAACAACAAAAGACAAACTAGCTCATATCTATTACATGAAATTGAAAAATTTTTAATTCTCAAAGATTTCAAAGTAAAGAAATGGTGCCACAATATCATTTACTTCACTAATAATCACTGTCTGAGAGTTCCTAAAAGAGAAGGAGCATTTTTAGCACATCCTAGAGATGGAAACAGAAAGCTGCTGGACACAAACCTGGAAGTCTGCATGATTCAACCCCCGGGGCCTCCCTCCCAACTCCTTGTCCTTCTCCCTTCCTACTCTACAAGACCTCAGTTGTCTAGGCAGAATATCCTTTAATTAATTAATTTAATTAATCTCAGTTAAAATCTGTGCACAGGTTTTGTCCTTTTCTTTTCCTGGCATAGATGAAGATACAGTATCATCTATTGAAGATCTCCTTGTTGCCAAACACAATTTTAATAGCACTAATTCAATCTGGCACATAAATGGTGGAAAAGAACACCACCTTAGTTTTCCACACAGGCACAGCAGTGCCTGGTGTTGCACCCTTTGTTCCAAAATTGTGTGTCCCAAACAAAGAAAAGCTGAGGTGAGAATTTGGACTGGACACATGTCCAAAGCTTTCTTATAAGAAAGATCTATAGTTCTGTCTGCACAATGCCTAGTAAAGGCTTCAAGACATAAGAAAAGAAGATACAAGAAAATTCTACATGCCCCAGGACAGTTCTGAATCCAGAAAACTGCACTCAGGGCTTCATTCTGCTTGGGAATATCTACCTTGTTTTTGCTTTTGTTTTTTTTTTTTTTCTGTTAACTAGTTCCTGTGTTACAAACTCAGCATCTTAACTTAAATAAAAATGAGAATGCCATTCTGGGAAATTACTATTAGAAAACTGGGATTGGGGGCAGCTAGATGGTATAGTGAATAGAGCACCGGCCCTGGCGTCAGGAGGACCTCAGTTCAAATTTGACCTCAGACACATAACACTTACTAGCTGTGTGATTATGGGCAAGTCATTTAATCCCAACTGGCTCACCCAAAATTCAAAACAAAACAAAACTGGGATTGTTTATATTCTCTTTTGGTTTCTCCCTCAACCCACTACAGTAATTGTGATTTGATTTTCAGTGACATTCTGTATCTGAACTTCCTCTCCACCTCCCTTGTAGTCTCTCCTCTCCTCTCCCTGAATGGATTAGAGAGGAGAAAAACTTGAGGTATGGAAATAAGTTAGTAGGCTATTGCAATAGTGAAGGTGAAAAGTGATGAGGGTATGAATAGAGTTGTATGCACAGACATAAGAAAAAGTTAAAGAAGATTTTTTTTTTGAAGAAATAATAAAATTTGGCAACTGATTATATATGGGATGACAAAAGGGAATCAAGGATAACAGTGATGTTGCAAAACTGTGTGACTAGAAGGATGGTATCCTCAACAGAAATAGGGAAAGGAGGAAGAGATGTGGGTTTTCTTGAAAAGCTAAACAGTTCTATCTAGACCTGTTGAGTTTGACATGTTTACAAGGCTATCCAGAGACTAGGACTGATGATATAGATTTGGGAGTCAAGCACATAGATGTGATAATTGGCTGTTAGTGAGAAAGGCAGTATTCCTTTACCAATCCAATTTTTCCATGTCATGCTACTCTTTAGGGCACAGTGAGAGGGAGAATGGTGGAAGATTATGAACCCTAAATCTAGATTGGGGACACAGTTTCCACTCTCCATTCCCTGGTTTGTATTGTTCTTTCTTCCTAATGCACTCCTGTCCTGATGCCAAGCAGAATGTTTACCAAGTGAACCATTGGGAACTCACCTCAGCTTCTCTAACTTGCAGTTTTGATTTTCCAAGGCCTTACACAGAAATTTTATTTCCCTCTCCTCAAAGGAATTTCGACTCAGATCTAAGTCTTTCAGGCTCTCGTTGCTACTGAGAGCAGAGAAGAGATTCTGGGAACATGCAGGAGTAAGATGACACCTAGACAAACTGTAGGAGAAAACATAATCAAAGGGAGAGTGGTCATTTCAATTTTCCATGATTAATTCACTTTGTGTTTTTCTGTGGGCAATGATAAAAACACATCCACTTGTTGATCATCACCTGTTGTCCTCTTCTTTTTAGGGGAATGAATGTAGTTTCTTTTAAAATGCTCAGTCGCTCCCAGAGAACAGTATTTTTAGATGTCAAATTATACTATAAGGCAAGAATGATCACAATTTTTTAGTACTAGTTCAAAAAATAGAAAAATATACCAATGGATCAGATTAAATAAGAACGTGAAACAACTGAAGTCAATAATTAGTCTTTAATAGACAACTACTCATGGAAGAACACTGTACATGAAAAAAATAAAACTGCTGGAAAAACTGGAAAACATTTTGGCAGGAATTATTTTTAAAACATTTACAGCTATACCATAATTAGCTGAAATGTACATATGACTTGAATATTGAAGGTCATAAAAAGAAGGAGGAGGAGGAGCAGAATCTGATCAGGAACCTTAGACAACTATGAACAGGGAAGAATTCTTAGATAGTGACAATAACAAAAGACAAGGTAGCTCATGTCCATTTCATGAAATTGAAAAAGTTTTTGCATGAACAGAATTGATGGTATGATAACAAGGGGAGACATTGGGAAAATGTTTTATTTTGGGCAGCAAATCTGTGAGATGGGACTAATATCCAAGATTATATATAGGGAACTGACAGAATTATATGATTTAAGTCATTCCTCAATGAATAAGTGGTTAAAGGAGATGAACAAACAACTCTCAAAAGAGAATTTGTAAATGAATAACCATATGAAAGACTGCTACAAATTACTGCTAATAAGAGAAATGCAGAATTAAAAAAACTCTGAGGCAAATTAGCAGAAATGACAAAAGAGAGGAAGTCAATGGTAGAGAACTATGGAAAGATAGGCTCACTAATTCTCTTTTGGGGGAATTGGTACGACTGTTACAGAAAGCCAACTTGGAATTATTTTAACAAATGACTAAAATATCTATACCCTTTGGCTCAGAGATCACTGCTAATTATATATAACAAGAACATCAAAGACAGTAATGAAGGTCATTGAAGCATTTTTTTTAATGCAGAGAATGGAAGAAAATTAAGTTCAGAGGGAAACATATATAAGCAAACAATTTGAAAGTAACATACTGGATTTATTACGGACTTTTAAGAAAACAAAACAAAACAAAACACTGCCAAAAAAGAAAACAAACAAAAAAACCCACTGCATTATAAAAATTTTAAACTTTATATCTAATTTTTATCTGTTTTATTTTGTAACCTGGAAATATTCCACATTTTTTCAGTGTTCATTAAAGTTAGAATAAATATAATCTAGAGGGGGTAGAGCCAAGATGGCAGAGGAAAAAGCAGTGACTTGCTTGAGCCCTCCCCCAAAGCCCTCCAAATACCTATAAAAAATGACTCTCAACAGTTTCTAAAGCAGCAGAACCCACAAAAAGACAGAGTGAAACAAATTTCCAGCCAAAGACAGCCTGGATGGTTGATCAGAAGGCTATATTGCGCTGGGCGGGGACAGGAGCGCAGTTTGACGTGGGCGCACAGGCCACAGTGAACCTGGAGCAGGCCTCAGAGGAATGACTTGCAGGAAGTTGTGGTGGTTTCCAGACTTCTCAACCCATGAAGGCCAAAGACAACTTAGAAGGCCAGTGGGAAAAGTCTGTTTTTTGCGGTGAGAGAGGAGCATGGTGGGGTTCCAGTCCCATTCCTCAAACTTGGCCCCGGTGTAAGGCTGCCACCTGAGCTTCCAGCCCCCAGACTAAGGGGCAATCAAGTGACTGGTCAGAGGGGGATTGCAGGGATCTTCTTCTGGTGCAGGATTCTCTTGCTTTGCCTATGCTTGGATCTGGGTCACAGTTCTGGGTGGTGGTCCTGGGGCGAGGAGGAGCACTAGAGTGGTGGAGTTTGTAGTGGCTGTGGAGAGGAAATCCTCCTCACAGTTTCAAGACAGGAAAGAGTGCTTATGGTCACTCATAGACCAGAGCACAGGCCGGAAAAGGAGGAAACACCTCGCCCTTGATCATAGCACCTTGGAAGAACTGAAAATTTACAGCTCCCTAGAAGTATCTCTGAAAACAGCTGCACAAAACCCCTGAAGCTTGGGACAGTATATTCTCCACACTGGAAACAGTCCCCTACCTTAACAAAGAGTTTATAACTCAAGTAATTGGCTGAGATCATGAGCAAGCAGCACAAAAAGAGTCAGACTATATTAACTTACCTTGATGACAAAGAAGATCAAAACATACAACCAGAAAAAGACAATGAAACCAAAGCTCCTACATCCAAAGCCTCCAAGAAAAAATATGAATTGGTCCCAGGCCATGGAAGAGCTCATAAAGGATTTTCAGAAGCAAGTAAGAGAAGTAGAGGAAAAACTGAGAGTTGTGCTAAAGGAGACCCAAAAAAATACTGAGGAAAATAACACCTTAAAAAATAGCCTAACCCAAATGGCAAAAGAGGTCCAAAATGCCAATGAGGAGAAGAATGCCCTAAAAAGCAAAATTGGCCAAATGGAAAAGGAAGTCCAAAAGCTTACTGAAGAAAATACTTCCTTAAAAATTAGAATGGAGAAATTGGAAGCTAGTGACAATTTGAGAGATCAAGGCACTGTAACACTAATCCGAAAGAATGAAAAAATAGAAGAGAATGTGGAATATTCCATTGGAAAAACAACTGACCTGGAATATAGATCCAGGAGAGAGAACTTAAAAATTATTGGACTATCTGAAAGTCATGATCAAAAAAAGAACCTAGACATCATCTTTCAAGCAATTATCAAGGAAAACTGCTCTGATATTTTAGAACCAGAGGGCAAAAGAGAAATTGAAAGAATCCACCGATCACCTCCTGAAAGAGATCCCCAAAGGAAAATCCTAGATCCCCTAGGAATATTGTAACCAAACTCCAGAATGACCAGGTCAAAGAGAAAATATTGCAAGCAGCCAGAAAGAAACAGTTCAAGTATTTTGGAAACACAATCAGGATAATACAAGATTTAGTAACTTTTAAGTGACCGGAGGGCATGGAGTGTGATATTCCAGAGGGCAAAGGAGATAGGACTACAACCCAGAATCACCTACCCAGCAAAACTGAGTATAATCCTTCAGGGTAAAAAATGGTCATTCAGTGAAATAGGGACTTTCACCCATTCCTGAGGAAAAGACCACATCTGAATAGAAAATTTGACTTTCAAATACAAGACTCAAGTGAAACATGGAAGAGGTAAACAGGAAAGAGAAACCATAAGAGACTTATTAAGGTTGAACTGTTTAAATTCCTGCAGGGAAAGATGATATTTGTAACTCATGAGACCTTTGTCAGTATTAGGGTAGTAGGAGGGAAAAAAATTATATGTATGTATAGATAGATAGGTAGAGGGCACAGGGTGAGTCGAAGATGAAGGGGTGATATCTGGAAAATAAAATTAAGGGGTGAGAGAGGATTATACTGGGAGAAGGAGAAAGGGAGAGGTAAAATGGAGTGAATTATCTCACATGATACAGACAAGAAAAGGCTTTTACAGTGGAGGGGAAATGGGGGTAGGTGAGAGGGAATGAGTGAATCTTATTCTCATAGGATTTGGCTTAAGGAGGGAATAACATACACAATGGGTTATGGAAATCTGTCTTACCCTACAGGAAAATAAGGGGGAATGGGGACAAGAGAGTAGGGGGTTGAAAAAGGGGAGGGCAGACTGGGGGAGAGGATAATCAAAAGCAAATACTTCTGAGGATGGACAGAGTCAAAAGAGAGAATAGAATAAATGGGGAGTAGGATAGAATGAAGGGAAATATACTTAGTTTTTCACAACAGGACTACTATGGAAGTGCTTTGCATGACTATAACATCTATAACCTGTTTCGAGATGCTTGCCTTTTCAATAAGTGTGGGTGGGGAGGGAGGAAGGGAGAAAATTTGTAACCCAAAGTTTCAAAAACATGTGTTAAAAATAAATAAATAAATAAATAAATAAATATAATCTAAAATTAATAAAATATGACATGATTCTGTGAGAGGGAGAAGGGGAATTATAGGAATATGTTGGGAAATGTATGTGATGTAAAGGCAAAAATGAAAAATAAAATAAATTACAAATGACAAATAAAATGCATTTTCCAAAACTTCTCCTCCACTCTGATCTAATTTCCTGGGCTATAGTTTGTTAAACACATGATATGCAAGGGGAAAATAAATAATCAGGCCAATTGCAATTAGATATTTTTATGAACAATATTGAAGAAAAAAGATCAGGGATTAATTCCAGTTTTAGCCAGTAATACCCAAAATGTTTTGCATTTGGCTATGGAAGCACTGTGTGTATATATTGACACAATTCATAAGACCAGATGGATGTAGAAAGTGTTGGAAATGTAGACAATAGGGCACAATGTGAGGAGTAGCTCCAAGGGAGGAAAAGAAAAAAAATAAGTAACCGAGAACAAAAGAAAACTTAGAAGCACAGAAAAGCTGGGTTGCTTTGAAAACACTGTCTAGAATTTATTACATAGGTTTTAGTGAAATGGAAATTGATCGCTTTATGTTGTATCCCCTCTTATATTCTCCTATATACATGGAATGCTCTTTTTTATTTTCTCATTTTGAAATTAAGTTTAAAATGAATAAAAATTTAAAAAAGAACATGAAGAATTCAGAGAAATATGGGGAGATTTTTCTGAAGTGATGTAGTGAAGTGATGTAGAGTTAGGAAATCAGAATCAAGACATCATTTACACAGTGTTACACTGAAAAGGCAGCCAAGCTGATAGTAATTATAAAGAAAAATCCAAATTACTGAGAACTAATGATGAAACACATTTGTTCTTTAGTAGGAAGACTATGGAAGCAGAATGAGGTATATATACACAGACAGATTTTGTTGCTGGGTCATTTGGTTTTGCTTAATGATCTTCTCAGTTTCAAGGGAGAGTTTAGTGGGTGGGGAGAAGTAAAAGGGAAACAACTATGATACACAAACAAATGGCAGCAGTAAAACTTACAAATGAGATGACAAAGGCTTGGTATCTTGACCAAGGCAGTGCACAAAAGGACTACCCCTTCCCTCTTTTTAACCACTAATGGATCCTTGCCTCATTTAGGAAGCAGACTGACAAGACAGCATGTCCAGGAGAGCATGACAAGAATTCAAAGGATTATGGACAACGGCAAATACAGATTGGGAAAAAAAACCAATAACTTGAAATAACTGAAAGACAGTCACATGGTAGAGGTCTGAAATGTCCTCTACTTATATGAAAATGAAATATCTGTGTATGAGTATGTTTAAGAGCCAGAATTTAGTTCTATGCAAAAACAAATTTTTCTAACTATGTAAGTTGTTCAAACATAGAATGAGCTGGTTGACAAGCTAGTGGCTTCTCCATCACAGGAGGTCTTCTACTAGGAAGGCACCAGACAATCATGTTTCAGGGATGTTGTAAGAAGATTCCTACTCAGGGACATACTGGAATAGATGACTCTTGAAGTCTGTCTACTTGGTCACTCTGTAACAGTTTTGAGGAACAAAACATGATCTCTCCATCTCTAGCCTATGGAATTAGTGAATAAAGCAGGTCCCACATTTATAAATCTATTCACTGAGTATGGCATAGTCTTTCCTTATCAAATCTTTGTTCTACCTCCCTCCCAATCCTGCTCAGCCTCCTCACTCTAAAACTGAGCCCTCTAATATATAACAAAAACAAAACAAAGCAAACAGGGGCAGTGTGTGTGAGAAAAAATTGTTTACCAGCTAACAGTTGTAGAACTAAGGGATGCTTCAAATAGGCCTTTCAGAGATAATTAGAGAAATGCTTGAGCAAACCACTTTCTGGCCAGTTGCCTAAGAAACACAATAATGACAGCAACAAAAATGTGTGAGACCTTGATTTCTAAACCTACCTCAAGAATGGAGCTTCCAATTTCTCTCCCTAAACTTGTTTTCTGCCTTCCCTCTCTACTTACCTCTTTGACCACAAAACTGAAGATACTCACCCCCCCAAAAAACTCATAGGGGCTCACCTTAGTGTCTGTAGTTTACACTCCTGTTTTGTCAGGATATTACATAGACGTTTTATTGTACCCTCCTCAAGGTAAGTACAACTCAGGTCCAAGGTTTTCAGGCTCTCACAGTTGCCAAAAGCAGAAAAAAAATCCAGAACACAAACACCAAATTTCTGAGAATGAGTTATTCTGAAGGAAACAGAAAACCAGAGAGGACATGAGCAATTACATTCTCCAGGATTCATTCACTCTCCATATGTCAGTGAGAAAGAGCTCAATCCCAGAGTTCATTTAGAATCACCATACTCAATAAATCTAATTCTATCTTCATTGCATTCCATTTCTTTGAAAATGCCCCCTGACTAATAAACTATACATCCTTTCCCACTCAGATCCCCGTATGTCCCTACATCTGTATTAGGGATAGGGGATGGGGATAGAGATGGATTTGACCTTTGGTTTCACTAATATAAGCAGCTCCCTGGTGAGGACACTACTAAAGTAACAAATTAGTTGGTAAATTTTAGATGTGACATGGAAGAACAGAAGCATTGCCACAGGACTGGAGAGGGACAAATGTCTCAGTACTCAAAATGGGGAGAGGGTATGTTCTTCAAGTAAGAGGCCAGGAAGCTTCACTTTGATTCCAAACAAAATTCTAGAATGTATTATTTAAACAGGCTTCAAAAAATCAACTGTGTAAGTATAGGATGGCTAGACAAGACAACAGTTTGTGTAGGAACATCTGGAGTTTGTGTGTGTGTGTGTACAATAAACTCAATATAAGCCAACTCTGTGACAGAAGCCAAAAATGTATTGAGAGAGGGATAGTATTCACAATGGTAGAGGGGATAGTCCTTCTCTATTTTACCCTGGTTCACTCACTCTCTCTGTTCTAACCAAAGGAGATTACTAATGCCTCCCTGACCTTGCTATCCCTGCCTTTTCACAGGCTAAAACTAGTGACATGAAGCCTCAACACCTCCCCCACCTCCACAAACTTTTCAAGAGCCACAGTGTCAATGGTGATGACAACTCAGCTTCTGCCCTTCTCAGGGGCACTGACCCAAATCTGCCATAGGGCTATGAAGATAGTGGGCTGAAGAGGTACTGATTTTGCAGATCCTTAAGGTGGAAAGCTGGGGTGAAGAAGCATAAAGGAGATCCTTCTCCAAAAAACGGGGACCCTTTCAATAACATTTATTCACTGAATTAGTGATTATTTTCCCCCATTATTTCCTATTAGTACAACTCATCCTCACCCCAGAACTAAATTCCTTTAGCCCAAGAAACATAGAGGGAAGAAAATGTAAGGGGGAACTTTTTGTCAATTCAAGGGACACAATCAAGGGAAGGTCAGAGAAGTTTCAATGGGATGCAAGAGGGAAGGAGGTACTCCCCTGAATAAACTAGCCCCAAAAGCCTGGTGAAGAGAAGAATGAATTGTGCAAAATTCCCTAGAAGAATAAACTGGGTAAAGCTCTCCCCTGATCTCAGACAGACAGCTTGCAGTCACCCTGACCAAATCAGTGTTGTTATTTCTGCTTACTTTAATGTTATGTCCCCAGTGCTCTGGAGGTTCTGAATAGAGGACATCTATGGAGACTCACCTTAGTGTCTGCAGCTGACAGTTCTTTTTTCCCAAGGTCTCACATGGCAGCTTCATGCCGTCATCCTTAAATAAAATAGCTCTCAAGTGTAGGCTTTTCAAACTGGGAGCAGAGAAGAGATACTGACAACAGGAATAAGTTACCTTGAAGCCTTTCAAACTGTAGGAGACATACAACCACAGGTTAAATGACCCATTTGTTTCTCCAGGATTTACTTCTTCTCTTTCTGGAAAGGAGCTCAGAGCCACCATTCCTTTATAGCTACTATCCTCTGGCATCCCTATTCCATGCTAAACATTTCAATTTCTTTAAAAATGTCCCCTTCCTAATCTCCTAATTCACCAGACCATTCTTCCCATTCTGATTCTCACACTTCTGCTACATTTGGTCAAACACATGAAATATGAAGGGGAAGAAAATGAGAAAGAAGTTGATGCTGATTAGGAATTATTAGGAATAATAATGTGGGAAGGGAAAGAGGAATTCATTTCAACTCCTCTTTCTTGACAGGAACATTGAATATCTTTGGCACGTCACCACTGCAGCACTGTGTGAGACTGGACAAACTCACACAATTATTTTAATTTTGAAAAAATCTCCACTGGTAACCCTTGTTTTCACAGCCCTGTCTCACATATATATATTTATATACATATATATATTTATATATGTGTATTTATATACACATACACACATATACAGACATATATACATATGTCTGTATATATGTGTGGATTATTGTATGTACACATATGAAAATTTCTTTATCTATTCTCTAATTGATAGCTATCTACTTTATTTAGCTGTTGCTTCCACTACGCCTCTTGGTCATCACAAAGTGAACAAAGAAAAAAGAAATTCCCATCCCAATAAGGCCCTTAATGCATAGCTGCATAATCTGACAAAATGTGGTATATTCATTTTATTCAAATGACCACATTGGCTAGATCCAAAAATGTATGTTTCTTCATACATTTTAAGTTAATCATCTCTCTATCAGGAGTCAAGGGGCATATTTCATCTTCTTTCTCTTGGACTCATGGTTCAGTTGTTTTTCTTTATAATATCCTCTTTGAATAAATTGTTCTCCTAGTTCTGCTCACTTTACTTTCCATTAGTTCACAATGGCCTTCTCAATTACCTCTGAAATTGTACATTTCATCATTTGTTATGTCACAATAAAATTCCATTAGATTCATACACTGCAATTTGTTTAGCCATTTCCCAATTGAAGGACACATTAGTTCCCAGTTCCTAGCTATTACAAAAAGTGCTGATATAAATATTTTTGGAAATATAGATCCCTTTCATTTTTCTATGATTTTTTTTGGAGTATGGTCCCAGTAGTAATATAGATGGGTCAAAGACTACACATATTTAAGGATCTTTCTGGGCATAGTTCCAAACTGTCCAGAATGACTAAAATAATTACAGTTGCTCTGCTGTACCTGTTTTCCCACAGCCTGTATAACATTTGTCATTTTCCTCTTTTACCATCTTTGTCTGTCTGATAGGTGTGAGGTAGAACCTCAAAGATGTTTTAATTTTCATTTTTCTAGTTATTACTGATTTATAGCATTTTTGAACTCATTTTCATTTTTAATTTCACTCATTTCAACCTTTTTTCATGATTGTTGTTAGCTTTCTCTTTTGAAAACTGCTTGTTCATATCCTTTGACCATTTATTTATTGGGGAATAGATTTTAGTCACATAAATTTGAAACAATTCTTTATATGTCATGAGCATGAGAACTTTATCAGAGAAAATTGATAAAATATTTTTCATTTTTTCTTTGCTTTGAAATTTTTATTATATTAGATTTGTGCAAAAGTTTTTAATTTTAGATAGTTAAAATTGTCCATTTTTCCTTGTGTGATCCTGTCTCACTTTTTAGTCATGAACTTTTCAACTTTCCATAGATCTGATAGGTAATTTCTTCCTTACTCCTCTAATTTAGGATTTGAACATTTGTATTGAGGTCATATATCCATGTGGAGCTTATCCTGGCATACGGTGTAATGTTTTGGTCTAAACCTAATTTCTTCCATTGGATTGTTATGTAGGTTCCTAGGAGTTTTTTTTTTTTTTTCCAAACAGCAAGTCCTTCTCCCAAGTAACTGGAGTTTTTTAGTTGTTTATCAAACACTATACTATTGTGTTTGTTTGCTTCTTTATGTTGTATACCTGATCTGTTACATAGATGGATCTCTCTTTTTTTAAACCAGTACCAAATTGTTTTTGTGATTACTGCTTTGTAATATATAATTTTTAATACTTTGTATATACTTTGTAATACCGCTTTGAGATATGACCTTAATAGACACCCTCCTACCACTTCTTTTCACTATTACCCACAATATTCTTTATCTTTTGTTCTTCATTTTTTCCCCTACATCTCTAAAAATATTCTTTTGGAAATCTGAATTGTATGGCATTGAATAAGAAGAATGATTTTTTATATATTGGTCTGACCCACCAATGAGTAATACCAATTTTTCTCCATTATTTAGGTCTGCCATTAATTCAACACACAGTGTTTTATAGTGAGAGGGTGTCTTGGTGGATCTTCATAGTTACATTCTCAAATATTTTATAGTTTTTATAGTTACTTGAATGTAGTATCTTTTTAGCTCTTCCTGAAAATTTTGTTGGTTATATAAAGGAATGATACTTTATCTGATTTTATCTTCTATTCTGCAAATTTGCTGGTTATTATTTCAATTAATTTTTGACTCTATAGATGAATTGACTCTAGAGTTCTACAAGTACACCATGAAATCATCCACAAAAGGGATAATTTTGTTTTCGCTTTGCTTATGCTCATTCTCTCTAGCTCTTTTCTTATTACTCTAGCTAGCATTTCTAACACTATATTAAAATAGCAGTGGTGATAATGGACATCCTTATTTAAACCTGATCTTACTGGAAAGGAATCTCCAACATATATAATTTTGTTCTTTGATTTAAAGACAGTTTACTATATTAAAGAATAGTCCATTGATTCATATGATTTCTAGAGTTTTTAATAAAAAAAGAAATTACTCAATTTGCTCAAAATATTTTTCAGGATCTATTGATATCATCATAGGATTTTTACTATATGTATTATTAGTATGACTTATTATATCTATAGTCTTCCATATGTTGAACCAACCCTGGTCCTAGTGTATGATCTTATAACATATTGTTATAGCCTTCTGAATAATATTTTATTATTTTTGTGTCAATGTTCATTAGTGTTAATGGTCTTTATATTACTTTCCCTGCTTTGTTTCTCCCTGGTTTAGTTGTCAAGATCTTATTTACATCAGAGAAAGAGATTGGAAGATTGTTTTTTCTTATTATTGCAGATGTTTTATGTGTTATTGGAATTAATTGTTCTTTGAATGACTGATGAATTTCACTTGTGTATCCATCTAGTCATGAAGTTCAGTTTTACTTTGGAAGCTCATTTATGGCTTGTGGAATTTCTTTTTACTACTAATGGGTTATTGAAATAGTTTATTTCTTTTTTTTTAATTTGGGCATTTTGTATTTTTGCAAATATTCTTGTGTTACCTCTAAATTATCATTTTGTTAGCATATAATTAGGTAAAACGGTTTCTATTATACATGGACGATTTTTAATTTTCTTTGGCATAGTTCTAAAAGGATACCAATGGACTGCCAACAGAATGCTAGTGTTCCTATATTCACATAGTAGCGCCAAGATTGACTGTTGTCATTTTTTCATCTTTACCAATTTGCATAGTATCAAATAAAACTTGAGTGGTTTAAATTTATATTTCTCTTACTATTAGTAATTTGGATCATGTTTTCATGTGGCTATTTATTCTCTGCATTTTTTTCCCTATCTACTGACCCAATTATCTGTGTTAATTACATATGGATTTAGGATATCTGACATTTATCATTGATATTTGATGAAATATTTTCTGTACCATTTTTCTTCCTTTTATTTTGATAGGTAAACAGATAGATAGAATATTTAAGGACTTACTAGATTTCTGGAATTATGCTAAATGCTAAGGATACAAATAAAAACAAACTAGTCACTTCCTTACAGGATCTTCCATTTTCATAGGGGAAAACAACACATAAAGGAGAGACAGAAAGGGGGTAAGGGTTAGAATATAATTGTCTGGGGCTGGGGGGGGGGGCTGGGTGGGTGGAGGCTGGCATAGGTGGAGATGTGTGAGAAGTATAGTAGAGAAGTAGGCCTGGGACAGAGCAAAATAAGACCAGATCTGGTCTATCACAGTCAAGGAGAGTTCCAGGAGTAGAATCCAATTTTCCAGAGGGTTGGGGGAAAAGGGAGTAGAAGTGAACTACATGGTAATTATTGTTTGTTTTACATTTTATGAACTTTTCTCTATGATATTTAAGAAATTTCACCTACTCAAGTTATGACATATACCTGATCTTGTTCTCATTTAATTATTTTTATGGTATGAATCTTTACATTTATTTCACCTAATCCATTTTAATCTTACTATGGTACATGGTATGAGAATTGAAACAGAGTTTCTACCAAACTGCTTTCTGTTTTGTGACTGGACTTGTCAAAAAAGGAATCCCTCCCCTTGTAAATTACATTCTTGGGTTTATCCAACAGTGGGATATTGTTTTCAAAAACTTTTCTGTTTTAACCACTAACAAATCGATTTGATGTCTACTGCTTTATAATAGAGTTTGATGTCTGTTAATGCCCTTCATTTATACCTTTTCCTACTATTTCCTTTGACGCTGGACCTTTTGATTATCCAGATGAATTTTGTTATTATTTTATGTGATTCTATAAAATACTACTTGATTGGCATAACACTAAACCCATAGATTAAAAGAACACTGCCATTTTAATCTCTCTCCAATTTTTATGTCTCCCTTTATTTCTATAATTAGTTGTAGTTATATAAATCTTGTGTATTTCTTTTTCTTTCATTCTGAGATGTTTTCTGCTTTTTGTCATTTTGAATGGATTTTGATCAGTCAACAAGCCTTCATTAAGTACCAGGCACTGTGCTAAATGGTAGGGATACAAAAACAAAAATGAAACAGTCCCTGCCCTTAAAGGCCTTATAGTCTATCTATAGCCATGTAAACTTTAGATAGACAGAAACTAAGGACTTTAAGGGTACAGATGCTTTCATTCTTGTTATTTTTTTCTCCAGCACCTTGCACAGTGCCTGGTACAAAGTAGGTTATAAATACTTGTGGATTTATCAAAATTTCATTCCAATAACGAAAAGCAAAAAACATCCAAAGTGTGTATATGTGTGCTGATATATAGGTAGATAGATAAATAGATAGAGATATGGATAGATATCAATAGTTATCGATATATACACAAATATATACTTATATGTATGTATGTAGAGATATATATTTTTATATCACACATATACATTTTATATAGAATATTCCATGATCCTATCATGTACATATACCCACTTATACATACACACACATATGTGTGTGTATATATATATATATATGTATATATGTATGTGTGTGTGTGTGTGTGTGTGTGTGTGTGTATATATATATATATATATAGACATATACATATAGACATACGCATGCACACACTCATACACAAGGCAGGGAGACCAACTTGGAAGCTATTACAATAATTGAAGTGAGAGGTAATAAGGGCTTGAATTAGGATTGTAGACATGTGGGTGGAGAAGAAGGGAGGGATGTGAGAGATATTGTTGAAGTAGAATCAATAAGACCTAGTAATTGATTGGATACAAGGGATGAGGAAGGATAAAGAACTAAATTTGGCCCCAAGATTGCGAACTTGTATACCTAGAAGAATGGTAATTTCCTTAACAGAAAAGGGGACTGTGGAAAGATGAGTGAGTACTGGAGGAGGGGATTAATGAATTCTGTAAATTTAGAGCAGAAAGAGACCTTGGAGTTCATCCCCTTCATTTTACAGATAAGGAAACTGGGGCACAGGAAAGCTAAATGATTTGTCCAGGGTTCTCTTTGAGGCAAAAACTGAACCCAGATCTTCCTGACACCAGGTCCAGTGACATATGTATACATGTTGAATCTGAGATGCCTAAGGGATATCTGGTTTGAAATGTCCAACAACTAATTGGTGATATAGGGCAAGAGCTCAAGAGAGAGACCAAAGTTCGATACATAGATCTTTTATCATCATTCCTTCCTGTTTTTTGTTTGTATTTTACAGAAATACATGATTTGTTCATTATGTGCAGGGATATAAATTTTGGGTCCTGCTACCTTATTGATGCTGCAGTAGAAAGTGAATTGGATTTGGAGTCTTACGACCTCGGTTTAAATTCTACCTGTATGACCTTAGGCAAGTCTCTTACTGTCAGTGAGCTTGACTTTTTATCTGTAAAATCAGAGGGTTGGAATATGTGGTCTCCAAAGTTCTTTCTAGCTCTAAATGTATTATCTTTTTTTCAATTAGTTTCTTCACTGATTCTCTGGGGTTTTCTTAGTATACCATCATGTCATCTGCAAATAGAGATCATTCTGTGTTCTCTTTGCTAATAAGTGTATCTTTAATATCATTTTCTTTTATTATTGTTATAACTAGTATTTCTAGACCAATATCAAATAATAGTGGTATGAGAAGTACTGTATGTTCACTTTCCCTCTCTCTTCTTCCCCACTTTTCTTTTCATTGTTCTGCTTTTCCAGCAATTTAGATTCTGGACCATCCTTTCTTTTCCTCCTAAAAAGTTATGTTTTACTTCTCCCTCAATCCTTTACCTCACTTTTCCCACTCCTACATAGGCAGACATGCCAGCCATGGGACCAGCTTAGACTTACGTCAGTTTTTCCAGTTTACAGTTTGGATTGCTTAGTTCCACACAAAAGTTTTCCATATGTGAATCAGCAAATCTAATGCAGGTCAGCTGGAGTTCTTTCAGATTCTGATTCTTGTTGACCACAGAGGAGAGATCTTGCCAAACATCAGCAGGTAAAACAAAATTAAAATCATAACAAGAGCTAGAGAGAGAAATGAGAGAATTTTACTGTGGGTATCAGTGGAACTCAAGTTGCCGCCCAGTATTAATGTGTGTGCCTATTTATATGGGAAAAAAGAAAATGTTCTATAGCAAATCTTAGCAATTCTCAGGGAGAGAACAGGTGGGATTAGATGCTAGGGACTCTGAAGACCAGTACATCTGAGACAAATCCAAGTAATAGCTACTGCCAGTTCTATCAGCCTTCATTCTATCCCCCTCCTTCTTACCACCTTTTCCCCTTGTCCTTTTTACTTCAACCCCCACATGCTCATTGGATCAGTTAGGGTGAGTGTAGCAGGAAGAAATCTGATCTAAGAAAGCAGAAAAAGATCTCTAAATATCTAATAAACACAGAAACCCAAAATTTATAGTGATGGACTCAGTCTCAGGATCATAGGAAACCTAATTTTACCAAGAGCTCTCTCTAGGGGACAGTAATTGGAGGATTTGTAGTAGGGAGCTGCTGTTGGGATAAGAGGATGGACAGTCACTCCCAGAGAGTCCCAGTGGAGAAGAAATGTCACCCTCAGCTGGTGCTAAAAAAGATTCATTAAATTCCTAAGGCTTCTATTAATATATTCAGTCCATAATCTTCCCAACATTAATCAAGATAAAGGGGCAAGACTATATTTCAAAACTTTCGCAAACACTGCTCAGGGTTCATTTTTTTGTTATTTTCCCCTTCTAAGGCATCCTCAGTTTTTATTTTTTTCTGATTCCATTGGGAGCTGGATGTCACACTGGGCCTCCCACTTTCCTAGATATGCCCCTTGGAGAAGGTCCTGAGGATATTAAGAATATATGAAAAGAGTAATGTACAAAGAGCTCAAGGGAACCAAAATGATTGAACTCAATCTTCTTGTGAGCTTTTTCCTTTGTTATCTACAGAATCTAGCCTAATGCCGTGGAAAAAAAGTAAATAGCTAAAAAATAAAATCTGCCATTAATGACAAAGAAATCAAACAGTAGGTAAATATAAGGGGAAAAAACTGAACCCAAAGATCTTAAGAAAAAAACTCAGAAACCTTGAGCACAAGTACCACCTATGCCTGTAATGAAGCTGCCAGGCAGGAGCTACTAATGACAACTTTTTTTCCCCCAAAAGAAGATAGCTTCAAATGCATCTGCAAGATGACACACTATAACGGTTTATTCTAGTGTGAAAATGACTTTTTGCTGACACATCTCATACGCACAAGAGATTCCAACTTGTGAAGTACTAAACAAAAGACTCTGAGTGAATATTAGCCTGTTCTCCGCACCATCAACATGGGCTTCAGAGTCACGAGCCTGGCTGAAGAAGCTGAAAGTGAATCTGAAATTCTGCCATGAACAAGCATGGACACCTTTGTCCTTTATGAACCCAGGAACACCAGTGCAAGGGAGAATATCTTAGAATCCAGCCAAGGACACAAAGAGCAGGTTCCTATCACCAACAGCCATGTGAGGCCTATTCTCCCTCCATTCCCTTCTCTCTGCTTTGCCCCCTCAATCAGGGACATTCTTAAGGATTCCAAAAAAGAAAATAGGTACCACAATACCATTTACTCCCTTACCAACAAATGCCCACAACCTCTTAAAAGAGAGGGAGCATCTGTAACACACCTCAGAGATGGGATTATTTTTTCCTGGACAAAAAGGGAAAGCTGCTAGACATAGACCCGGAAATTTCTATGACCTCATCCCCACTGCCTCTTCTCCAGTCCCCTGTCCTCCTTTCCACTTGACAGGACTTCAGTTGCCTAGACAAAATATCCTTTAATTAATCTCAGTTGGATATGAAAATTCTGTGCACAGGTTTTATCATTTTCTTTTCCTGTCATAGATGAAGATATAGAATCTTCTATACGTAAACATCTTTGCTTTCAAACACAACTTAAACAGCATTAATTCAATCTGGTGTGCTTTTAATGGGGTTGACAGATAAATGGTGGAAAAGAACACCACCTTAGTTTTCACAAAGGCACAGGGAAAGATAAAATACAGTGCCTGGCGTTTGGCTCTTTGTCCCAAAACTCTGTGTCCCTGAAGAAAAGCCAGGGTGACAATCTATGCTGGCCCCATGTCCAAAGCTGAAAGGAGAACACTGAGCTCCTCCATAAGAAAAATCCATTGTTCATTCTTTCTACAAAAAAGCCTAGTAAAGGCTTCAAGACATAAGAAATGAAGATACTCACAAGAAAATTCTCTGTGCCCCAGGACAGTGCTTAATGCAGAAAGCTGCATTCAGGGCCTCATAGAGGTACCTAACATTTACTTTGATTACTTGGATCTTAACTAGTGCCTGTGTTACGAACTCAGCATCTTGCGTCTCATATAAATGAGAATAGTATTCTGGGAAAATAGTCTTCAAAGAAAAGTATTTTTCATATTTTCCTTTGGCTTCTCCCTCAACCCACTGTAGTAACTGTGACTTGATTTCCGGTGACATTCTGCACCTGAAGTTCCTCTCCAGCTCCCTTGCTGTCTCTGCATTTAGGAAGCCAAAAAGGAAGCACGCCACCAGGACAACAAAACTGACATCATGCCGGCTACACTCGTCCAGAAGTTTTTTGACATCTGGAATGGAGGAGTCAGGGCTCTCCATCCCTTCCTTGTCTGTGCTCATCACATAGAACATGGCAGCAAAAAACTCTTGGAAACTCAAGTGAATGAAGCTGTAGCAGTTTTCACAGTTGCTGTCTTTCTGAAAAATGTTCATGTCTAAGAAGGCAGAGACATCAGCTGCCTTTATGTTATGCCTCCTCAGGTCCTCCTCCTCAAACAGCAGTTTCCTCTCCCAGATCCCCTCAGCAGCCAATCGACAAAGGCCCTTCAAGTGCTGAGACTCAAAATTCTTGTCATCACGTGTAATCATATTGGAAAGATCACACATGTATAGGGCAGTGGTAGTTTTCAAAACCTGGATGAGATTTTGTCCTCTCTCCTCTTGTTGTTTCAGACAAGTGCAGACAATCCAGTTCACCAGGGGAACAGAGCACATGGTGAACAGTGTGCCATTGCCTTTTACTAAACTAAAGGCTTTTTCACCTAAAGCCTCATTTCTGAAAAATTTGCAGAAATACTCCTTCCTCTGCTCCACAGAGAAGCCCAGGATCTCTACATGACGTGGATTCTCTAACAAAGAACTAAATTTCCCCAAAGCAGTGAGTCTTGTAGTGAGCAGCAAGGAGGCTTCAGGGAACATGGTTTTCCTTAGTAAACTGCTCAGTAGGATGGACACCGACTTCTGCTGCTTCCAATCTTTACACAGATATTTGTCCTCATTACAAGGGAATTTCAGTTCATCTAAACCATCAATGATGAAGAGAAGTCTCTCTGGCTGGGACATGATCTCTATCATAGCAGCCTCTTGGTCAGGTAAGTCACTGGCAATTAAATCAGCAAACCTGATTTTTCTCTCGCCTAATGGGTTCAAGTCTCTGCAACTAAGATAGAAAACATAGTTGAACCTCTTCTGGTAGAGTTTTCCCTCTGCCCAGTCCAACATCATATTAATTGTCAAAGTGGTCTTCCCAATACCAGCAGCTCCCTGCACCACAACAGTATAAGGTTGGGTGCCTGTTTTTTCATCAGGATCAAAGAAAGCTGACATGTCTGTAAGCCGTCCTCGCTTCTCCATGACCATAGCACATTCCCATCCTTGGACTAGGAGCTCATGTTGTTTCTTCTCCTTGTAACAGTACTCCTGAAGAAGCAGCAGCTGGGTGTATTGGTGGTGAAAGAGTTCATGCTCCCCAGGATGAGAGTTCTTTTCCTTCATAAACTGGAATTTCTCTCTCATCTGTTCTTGGTACTTATTTCTTTCACCTGAAGTCATAACAAACAGAGTATGGAGATGTTCAGTATTAAATCTGCTGGGGTATCTTTGGGAAAAGACCCTGAAAAAATGGTATGGGCATCATCATTCCCAGAGCCCACATGGAGGTGAAGTGCTACTTTTAGCTCTGCCCTCACCTCACATCTGCTGGTATCCAAGGTAACCCCTCAAATCCTGCCTGTACCTCAACTTAAGTGATCCTTATGAAACACAACCTTGACAATAATTCAATCCTGATCAGAAGCCTTCAATATCTCTGTCTTGTTCATAGTATAAAATCTAAGCTCCTTTCACAATTCAAGGCCTTCTTATTTGTCCATCTTTATTTCTCCCCAATTTCCCCAAATATACCATGAGCTTCCTACCCTCCACTGCGTAGTTAATGTTAAGCCACTTAAGTCAAAATTAAATTCCACAAATATTTATTAAGTGCCTACTATATGCCAAGTAGTCTGCTAAGAGTTAGAGATATGAAGAAAGACAAAAGAGTCCCTGTCCTCAAGAAACTCAAAATCTAATAAGAGAAATAACATGCAAACAATTGTGTACAAACAAGATATAGACAGGACAAATTAGAAATCGTCTCAGCAGGAAAGCACCAACATAGGGGACACTGGGAAAGTCTTCTTGCAGAAGGTGGGATTTCAGTTGAGACTTTAAGAAAGCCAAGGAAGCCTGGGGATTGTGATGAGGAAGGTGAGAATTCCAGGAATAAGAAACAGTCAGTGGCAATGTAGTCAGCAACTGGAATGTGTTGTGCTTACCACAAACTATTTCCTCTACTCCATCAAAATCTTGTCAGGAGGGACTGAGTTCTCTCCAGTTTCCCTTGGAAATAATGTTAAATCAAGCCTCTAAATGGATTCTGGAGAGAAAGAACCTACAAACAGATGGAGTGAAATAATTCTCCAGTTTATGATTAACTTAAAGGACTTCAGTAAAAGCTATCTGTGAGGCCTCCAGGCCCAGAACAGGAGACAAATTGCCAGCCCTAGAAACTGACAACATCAGTTGTCAGACTAGGATGGGCTACCCCAGTGTAGTGAGCAAGGTCAATACTCAGTGCACAAAGCCAGTGTGACCAGGCCTCTGGCTCTCAGCAAAAGAAGCTTGGGACAGTGCTCCCTGTGTTTTAGGAGCAGAGCTCAACTTTTTTTTTTTTTTGAGTGAAGAATTATTCATTTTCTGGTTCTTGGGAGAACCAGGCAAAACCTTTCAGAAGAGATTGCACCGATTACAGAAGCGAGAAACGTTTTATACTGTTAGAAGGCTGCAACTCCTCCCTTCCAGGCCCGGATTGGTTCGTTCCTTTCCAGGTTACAATCTTACACATCCACCCATCTCATGTCCCCTTGACGTGTCCCCCCACCCCAATCCCTACTCATCCAAAAGCCCGTGCTCTTTGTCCTACTTAGGGCTAGTTAAAACCAGTTTTGCCCTCTAGAACTTTGGGGCCTATTAAAAGATTAGGGCCCTTCTCATTGGCTTTCCCTTTCAAGGTTTTGCAAGCTTGTTAAAACAATGTAACTTCTTTGCTGATGTTGTAGGATGTCAAAGGTTATCTTAAACTGTGGGAGCATGATACCTTGTCCCTTACAATTCCACCTCCTTTTCTTGACAAAAAATCATGCTCCCACACTCTCTTTTGGTCTCTTTCAAACTTCTTTGGGACAAAGAAATTTGGGACAGTGCTCCCTGTGTTTTAGGAGCAGAGCTCAACTTTAAAAGACCCAAATTTGGCAAAATAAAAATGAGCAAGAAACAAAAAAAGATACTTAACAATAGGTAGCTTCTATGGTGACAGGGAAGATGAAAACACAAATTCAAAAGAGGACAACAATCCCATAATGCCTGCATGTGAAATCTCAAAGGGGAATATGAATTGGTCTCAAGGCCAAAAATTCTTGGAAGAGCTCAAAAAGGATTTTAAAAGTCAAATAAGAGAGGTAGAAGAAAAATTGGGAAAGAAATGAGAGTTATGCAAGAGAGAATTCAACAGCTTGGAAAAGAAAGTTCAAAAATTGACTGAAGGAAACAAAGCCTTAAAAAATACAGTTGGCCAACTGGAAAAAAAATCCACTGAAGAAAACAACTCTTTTAAAAGTAGAATTGGACAAATGGAAAAGGAACTACAAAAGCTAACTGAAGAAAATAATTCCTTAAAAAATAGAATTGAGCAAGTGGAAACTAATGACTCTTTAAGACATCAAGAATCAGTCAAAAGAATGAACAAAAAAAAAAAACAGAAAAAAGTGGAAAATACCTTATTGGAAAAACTGATCTGGAAAATGGATCCAGAAGAGATAATTTAAGAATTATTAGACTACCTGAAAGCAATGATCAAAGACAGCATCTTTCAACTAACTATCAAGGAAAACTGCCCTGATATTCTAGAACCAGAGGGTAAAGTGGTCATTGAAAGAATCCACTGATCACCTCGTGAAAGATCCCAAAATTAAAACTTTAAGTAATATTGTAGCCAAATTCCAGAATTATCAGATCAAGGAGAAAATACTGCAAGCAGCCAGAAAGAAACAATTCGGGGCGGAGCCAAGATGATGGAGGGAAAGCAGTGACTTGCTAGAGCTCTCCCCCAAACCCCTCCAAATACCTACAAAAAATGGCTCTAAACAAATTCTAAAGCAGCAGAATCCACAAAAAAAGAGTAAAACAAATTTCCAGCCCAAGACAGCCTGGATGACTGATCAGAAAGGTATATCGTGCCTGGGAGAGGAGTGCAGTTCGGCATGGGCGCGCAGGCCTCAGCGATCCTGGAGCAGGCCTCAGAGGACTGAATCGCGGGCAGCTGTGGTGGTTTCCAGACTTCTCAACCCCTGAATGCCAAAGACAATTTAGAAGGTCAGTGGGAAAAGTCTGTTACTGCAGTGAGAGAAGAAGCTAGATCTCAGCCGCCCCGAGGGCAGCGGCTGGCTTCTGAGCTTCTGGCCCACAGACTGAGGGGGAATTGAGTGGCTGATCAGAGGGGTATTGCAAGGATCTCTTTGCCAGGGCTGAGGCAGGAATCTCTTGCTTTGCCCATGTTTGGATCTGGGTCACAGTTCTGAGGGGTGGTCCTGAGATGGGGAGGAGCGCTGGTCTGGTGGAGCTTGTGGTGGTGGAGAGGAAACACCTTGCCCCTTATCATAGCACCTTGGAAGAACTGACACTTTTCAGGTTCCTAGAAGTATCTCTGAAAACAGCTGTACAAACCTCCGAAGCTTGGGACAGTACATTCTCCACATTGGAAACAGACTCTTACCTTAACAAAGAGTTTAAAACTCAAGTAATTGGTTGGGATCATGAGCAAGCAGTGCAAAAATAGTCAGACTATATTATCTTACTTTGGTGACAAAGAAGATCAAAACATACAACCAGAAGGAGACAACAAAGTCAAAGCTCCTACATCCAAAACTTCCAAGAAAAATATGAATCAATCCCAGGCCTTGGAAGAGCTCAAAAGGGATTTTGAGAAGCAAGTAAGAGAAGTAGAGGAAAAACTGGGAAGAGAAATGAGAGTGATGCAAGAAAATCATGAAAAGCAAATTAACAGCTTGCTAATGGAGACCCAGAAAAATACTGAAGAAAATAACATTTTAAAAAATAGCCCAACCCAAATGGCAAAAGAGGTCCAAAAAGCCAATGAGGAGAAGAATGCCCTAAAAAGCAAAACTGGCCAAATGGAAAAGGAAGTCCAAAAGCTTACTGAAGAAAATACTTCCTTAAAAATTAGAATAGAGCAATTGGAAGCTAGTGACTTTATGAGAAATCAAGACACTGTAAAACAAATCCAAAAGAATGAAAAATTAGAAAACAATGTGAAATATCTCATTGGAAAAACAACTGACCTAGAAAATAGATCCAGGAGAGAGAATTTAAAAATTATTGGACTATCTGAAAGCCATGATCTAAAAAAGAGCCTAGACATCATCTTTCAAGAAATTATCAAGGAAAACAGCCTTGATATTTTAGAACCAGAGGGCAAAATAGAAATTAAAATAATCCACTGAACTCCTCCTGAAAGAGATCCCCAAAGGAAAACTCCTAGGAATATTGTAGCCAAATTCCAGAGTTCCCAGGTCAAGGAGAAAATATTACAAGCAGCCAGAAAGAAACAATTCAAGTATTGTGGAAACACAATCAGGATAACACAAGATTTAGCAGTTTCTACATTAAGGCACTGCAGGGCATGGAATATAATATTCTGGAGGGCAAAGGAGATAGGATTACAACCAAGAATCACCTACCCAGCAAAACTGAGTAAAATTCTTCAGGGGAAAAAATGGTCATTCAGTGAAATAGAGGACTTTCAAGCATTCTTGATGAAAAGACCAGAGCTGAATAGAGAATGTGACTTTCCAATACAAGACTCAAGTGGAACATGAAGAGGTAAACAGGAAAGAGAAATCATAAGAGACTTATTAAGGTTGAACTGTTTACATTCCTGCATGGAAAGATGATATTTGTAACTCAGGAGACCTTTGTCAGTGTTAGGGTAGTGGGAGGGAAAAATTGTATGTATGTAGAGATAGATAGATAGAGGGCACAGGGTGAGTTAAAGATGAAGGGGTCCTATCTGGAGAATAAAATTAAAGGGTGAGAGAGGATTATACTAGGAAAAGGAGAAAGGGAAAGGTAGAATGGGGTAAATTATCTCATAAAAAAACAGAAAAGAAAAGGCTCTTACAGTGGAGGGGAACCGGGGGAAGGTGAGAGGAAATGAGTGAATCTTATTCTCATAGGATTTGACTTAAGGAGGGTATAACATACACACTCAATTGGGTATGGAAATCTGTCTTACCCTACAGGAAAATAGGGGGGAAAGGGGACAAGACAGTAGGGGGATGATAGAGAGGAGGGCAGATTGGGAAAGGGGGTAATCAGAAGCAAAATACTGTCCCTTCTGAGGAGGGACAGGGTCAAAAGACAGAATAGAATAAATGTGGGGGGTGGGATAGGATTAAGGGAAATAGAGTTAGTTTTTCACAGCATG